CGAATCATCGACTTGTACAGTGTTAATTGAGATTTTCTTTTTAGCAGCTTCGATATAAATAGTGTTAAAAAGGAGTATAATGCTCTATTTCCCGCAGCTATCCTTGCTGAGACCTCTTTTTCTATGTGGTTTTCAGCTGTGATTATCGCCACCAGGTATTTAAAATCCTTTACTACTTCGAAGTTGTGATCATTAACACTGATGTTCTGCCTAACTCTTGGTATTGGATTTTTGGTTTCTACCTTTTCTTTATTTATTCAGAGACCCGGATTACCTGTTTCCTCCTCGAGCTGTGAAAACACCTCTCTCACGTCTCTTGTCGAATGCGTGACTGCATCTATATTGTTCCTTGATCAGCAAATCCTCCTGTCAGCTCAGACAATATTTTACTTATTGCATATTCTAAATCAAAATTGAACAGCAAAGGTGACAAGAGGTCCTATATTTTCTATAATTATATCTTCTACTTTTCTCACGAATTGAAATTGCCCATATATCTTCTAATATATCTGTTAGTGTATCAGTAGAATCATAATCATCATCATCATTCTGGCTTTACAACCCTGCGTGGGTCCATGTTCTCATTATTTTTTGTTAAGAGTCCAGGTCTCTGAACCATATGTTAGGACTCGGCGTATTATTGTTTTGTAGAGGTATATTTTTGTATTTTTTGATGTAATTGTGGATTTAAGGAGATTGAGCTCAAAATCGCATCTCTTGGCCGTGCAAATTCTGCGGTTTATGTCCTGCGGTAGTATTATTTTAAATGTTAAGGAGTGCTCCCAGGTATACAAATTCGTTCACTGCTTTGATGACGTCGTTTTCTATAACAAGTGGTCGTAGTATTTGTGGTTGCGTGCTTATTTTTATATTCTTCGTTTGGTTAGTGTTTATTATTAAACCCATTTTTTTAGCTGATTCTTAACGCCTCTCGTACAGCGTTTTTCGTTCTTCCAACAGTAGATAAATCTACCTCTCATAATATTATAAAGTGATAAGAGACACACTTTGTAAAATGATCCGTTAAGTCAACATCCACTAAAATAGATGTTAATATGCAAAATGCCAAAAGCATATTATTTAAATCTTATAAATATAAATTTATACAAAAAATGTACATATATTACTTAAATTGTATAGAAAGACAGTGAAAAAACTACTCTATTTTGTTTCGGTCCATTTTGTTTACTCCATTTTGTTTTGGTGTGGACAATGTGTATTGCATTTTCTATAATCACATCTTGTGACTTTATGATCAGTAGAGATTAGTTGGCATGTTAAAACTAACTATGTACAGCATTGCTTTTTGAAAATGTACTTTTGCTTTTAGGTTTTCTAAAAATGTTTTCAAAAATTTTGAAATGATCAAAATCTTTGAGTCTTTTTTAAAAAATTAGTTTTCAAAATAGTGACGTAAGGAGTTGGTAAGTGTTCTAAGTTTACCAATATATTAATATTAAAAAAATATATCTTTGACTGGCATGATCCCACAGTTCTATTGGTATTGATGAAATACGTCAACATTTTAATGTTCCAAAAATTCCTTTCTCACGAAGACAAACAAATCCAAAATTAAATATTGTATTCTGTTATTATTTGTAGATTAATTAGTTATATACCAGAAAAATTATCAAATAAAAAGCCTTTTTCATGACACTCTTTGATACAGATATGTAACAGCTGCTTTTGATAAAATTGGGGTTCATCATAATAATTTTAAACTATAATGAAATTTAAAATAAATTGTTACAATATTTAAAACAAATCTTAAGTTTAACACCTAATACAAAGGTGTGTGTTCTCCAGCACAGGAGCAGTGTGCCCAACCACAGTATTTTCGGCATATAATCCATTCTCCATCGGATTGCGACCAAAAGTAACCACAATAGATGTACTGAGCATCTTCTCTTTTCCTTTCTTTTTTATTTGTATATTTTTACCCTTAGTTTAATCTGTTTTAGAGTTGATTACGAGTTTTTTGGCGATTTTTCTTTTTTTGCCGTGTTTTCTCTTTTTTGTTGTGACTCCAAAAGATCATTCTTGTACGGTGATTCAATTATTATAGCGGTTTCTCCTCTTCTTTTCGTGACACGGCTTGTTATTCCAGTTTCTTTTGGTATGAGCATGATATCTTTCGGAGATGTTACAAACGAAGATGATTATGTTTAGTTGTTAGACGTCCATGAACAACTAGGCCTTTCATCGTTACTTTTAGCAGTTTTTTTTCAGGCGTTTTTTTCTTCTCGTGTTTGTACTTCTTCCGCATTTATTTCCCAATTTCTGGTAGCATCCTCAGACTCTATTTCTGAAAAAAATTGTTGCATTGGTTTGAGGCTGAGGAGTCTCTTCCGGTTGGGGGTTAGAGGGCTCTGCAGATACTGACAAATTTGGCTGATAATCAGTTATTTCAGTTGAAGCAAAATCAGCGTCTGTAAAAAGTGTCGATCCATCGGTCAGATTCCAGTAGCTCTTAAGGAATCTATGGCAGTTGCCATGTGACACGCCTAGTATGGTACCGCAGACATTTATTTACTTCGTTACATACTTAGAGGCTTCGTGAAACCCACTTCTAAAGGCTGAAGACAATGGGTGCAATGTTGGGGGAAGCATAGTAGTAGAATATCATTTTCGCGGACGAAAACAATCACTGCCATGTTATTTACGTGGGAAGCATGCCCGTCTAACAACAAAAGCACTTTCTGACCTTTTGGCGCATTAGACCATTCCTTAAAACGTTTCAGCCACAACAGAAGTAAAGCACATTGAATCCATCCCGATTCATGGTATTCACCCCAAGATCCAGTTGGTGCTCTGTCCAATAATTCAGCTTTTATACGCTTACCTGGAAAATAAACATCGGGGATATGTAGTCTCCCACAGCACGAAAACATATGACTGTCGTCATAATTTTCCCTCGCTATATGGAAGTCAAAACTCATATCTAGAGTTTTCCAGTTGCAGCTAATATCTTAGAGTGGCCTCTTAGAACCTTTGACGCTACCGTTTCGTCGTCATTATAGATAGGCTGAGGTTGAATTTCATGTCAATAGCTGATTCAAGCAGATTAAAAAAACTTCTCAACAGCAACTTTATTGAATTACTGCGCTCGTGTAGATGAAGTTTTCGTTTCAGGTTTCCTAAGGCTCATATCTTTATGTCTTTTTAGAAAGCCTTGCCGCCAATTAACACCAGGCATGCCATTTTTTACATTTAATTTATGTGCAATACCATTTTTTTCTGCTAAGTGAAAAGCTAACGTTCTCAGCTCACAAGGGTTTAATCCATAAACTCGCTCCTCCATAAATTTAAAATATAAGCCTTCAATTCACTCTCCTCTTTGGGGGTGAAAACAGTTCTGCAACGACCCAACTTTTTTTCTACAGAAAGGTTTACGATGCTTTTTTGTACCCTATTTGATTCGATATCACGCAGAAGACTGCTTTCGTCATCGATTTCTGACTCCGGAATGTTGTTTGGTTTTTCTTTTATACGTTCCAACCATGATGACTATAAAAAAATACAAGAAAATGTATATTTGTAACCAACGTAGTCTAAGTCCAAGGTAAAAGGGGCAAAGTGGCGTATCAAGTAAACTGAACCCAACTTTGCAAATGTAATAGTATGTTATGCTAGCTTACCTTATAGTATATTCACATGCTTTATAAGGTATTAATGAACACTTTGACAAACAAAAAATCCAATGTCTTAGTTTGTTTGGCTTCTAAATAAATGCAATTAGAAAACGAGTGTAAATAATATCAAAGCACGTATTTTACTATTAAAACGCGCCATTAATTAAATATAATAACTGATGCTATAAGTCATGATAATGACAAACTCAACTGATATAGCTGTTGTCAATGACAAGCATTCTAAAAACAGAAAAACCCTACTTTGCCTGTTACTCCACTAAGACCCACTCTCCCCCATATTTATCATATTGTATCGTTAAAGTAGCCTGCGGTTCTACTTGCTTCTATTACTTTTTCCCAGACGTTTTCGTATATGTCATCGATTAATAAATTAATTCCGTCTTATTTAAATTTCATTATTTGTCCAAATTTTCTGTTTTCGATCTTTAGTTGGTACCTTATTAGCTCTTTTGACCTTTCTAACAAAACTGAAGTAAAGATTAATGCACAAATAACTGCCTGTCCAAAGAAGAGAACATATCCAAAGAACAACTGGAATGAAATAGAGGAACTCAATTTAGTCCAATAATCAACCTCGTATTATATGAAGTATACCAACCACTTCTTTCTCCCTTCTACTCGTAATTTGACAGGGTAATTAGGGTAACTTAAATAAAAGTTCTCTGTCCTGTATTTAACTTAAATACAGGCAGCCTGGATCTAAATAAAGGACAAAAATAAAGGATGAAAAACTGCGCATGCGTAGATGTCAAAATAAAGATGCTTTTATTACAGGACCACATAAAACACGTCTTCAATAACTCTCTAACATTCGTAGATACTTTAAATAACGCATAACCGGAGTTTTTAAAAATATTGCTCCAACAATAACACTAGATATACAAATACATGTAGGTATATGTATTTCAAAATTTGTTTAGTAATGAGGCTCATTCAAGTGTTTTCTTAGCCAGAATGTACAAGCAAGGTGAACACTGATCTTTATGTCTCCGTCTGTTTTTGATATCTTCCTTTATTGAGGTAATTTTTACCTGGTCCAAACATTAGTTAATTATTATGATTTAACTGGTAAACAATCACTGTTGACCGTGTTCAGAGCAAGATTGTTATCGGAATACTTAATAATATAACCAAACTTGTGTACCAAAGTTAAGTAGTTTTCACCAACCAAAGGTAAAATATTCGTGAGTGTGGTGTTAATATATGTCATCTACATACAGATTTTTCGTCTATAAAAACGCTTTGCACACCTTAATGTAATTTCCCACCTTATAACACTCCCTCCACGTAACTTACGAGTCAACCAACAACGTATTTTAACCACTAATCATTTATTTACTACTGTAGGCATGCAGAGACATAGAAACTGGTATCTTGGGTAAATGCTGCCGCGATCCCAACTACAAAGATCCATGGCCATCTGCAAACCTAGTCGACGGAATTGATGATGGTCAGTACAAAGAAGATAACTTCTACGGCCAACACCAACTTCTGAACACCAACAGATTGGCGAGAAATGCTACCAGAGGAGTAAAAGGAATCAGAAGGCAGACTGTTAAGAGAGTTGAGGATGAAATCAGAGCTGCGCAACCAACTTGTGGAGGAAGGAACTTGGTACGTATGAGTTTTTATAACTGCTTAATTTTTTTGTAATTACGAACTATATTTCTTAATCGAGCTAACTAAAGACTAACTATACCAATATTCTTGAAAACTAGTTGCAAACTGTTGTATTTGAAATGATATTACATCAAAAGCTAGTAAATCTAAAACAGTTGCTCCACTTGATCGCCATCCGATTTTATACATGAATTTGTTCTGGTGATGGTGCACATGGCAATTTTTAAATTACTCTGTAATCGATGACTGTGACTTTTTTAATGACGGTGATTTTTAATGGTGACCGCGATTCTTTTATGTTCAGTAATAGGTAGTCACAATAATCGTAAACTAAACAACACGATCACGATTATTCTGCGTGATGTAGTACTAGCCCTTGAAGACCCATGACAAGATATGGCATTGCAGAAGAATATGAATGTCTTGTTGTTACTAAATTTGTGTTGCAAATGACACTCAATTTTCAGGACCCTCAGGACGTTTTTAAAAACCCTCACAATTGTGTGCCTTGGTGCCATACAAAATACCTGCACAATTGTGAGATAGTCACAATTTTATATTCTGAGACTTGAAAACTTCTGAGTAAATGTGTATTATAGAGAGGGTATTAAAATATTTTATTCAATTCATTTTAACACATAATGCAAACATATATTACTTAAAACTATCGCATATGAAATGCTTTGAATTCAATAAAATTTATACACTTTCATTGACCGGTCACTATGGAATTTCCATTGTTAGATCCTAATCTCCAAAACCTGTAATATGAATTTTCAGTTTTGAGTTTTGGCAACAAATCTGAGGCATTTGGAATAAGTCTAAAAATGCTCAATTTAAACTTTCACATTAAAATGTTTAACTAACAAAACTAGATAATATATTTTTCTACTCTCTTACTAGTAAATTGTATATTACCTACTATTTGGATGCTAAGTAAATGCATCATAACAGATACTGACACGTAATGACTAGCACGTAATAAAAAAATTACGCTTCAGTTTTATAAAAATGTGTAATATCACATAAGCCTCGTAAGTCAGTTGGTCGAGTTACCATGGAAACGAATTAACAGACTAGTTATTTTGACAGATTAAAAATTATTAATCTGTCAGTGTAAATATAGTGGTAATTTAATTTTTATTTTTATAAACGAAAATAATCGTAGAAAAAGTATAGTACACGACTTGAGTTGTAAGCTTATTACATGCTTGTAAAATTACTGCCGCTCGCCGCTACGCGGCTCGCGCCCAACTTTTTTACTCGCATGTAATAAGCTTCTTACAACTCTCGTTATGTAATATACTATTTCAATACTAACAATAAAGCAATCCATTTAAATCACCACAAAACTTTCTTTGCAACCTTCCTCTTTAAATAAAACTAAAAATAAAGAATTCCTTAAATTTTTTTTATAATTTTTTAAGGATGTTTTTATAAAAGAAAAAATATATTTAATACGTTTAATGATATTATTTTAAATTTATTTTTTGAACAAGAGAAATATTAGTAGATAATAATATAAAATACCTCGTATTGCACCGTTCATAAAATTCACCGTTCACCGTTGTTAAATCACCAGATATTAGTCACCATTTCCCCACTCATACTATTTATTGTATAAGTTTTGTGAGACGGCGATCGTGAAAATGGTATCTGAAATATCTGGTCACTGGTCACAGGTATCGAAGTTCGAAGTCACAGCCTGGAACGGTAGGAGTAAGAAATCTTTAAATCTCTTCCTCAGGCAGCTGATCTAAACTACCATAGACCGCAATCTATAATATATACTACAAAATTATTAAAAATAGATTAAAAAATATTACACAAACCATTATAGATTTAAGAAAAGCCAGTCTACTAAAGACAATATTTTTATTATAAAACAAATTATGGAAAAACAAAGAGAATGTAATCTAGAAACATATATTGGATTTACAGTTTCTTAAAAAGCTTTCGACCAAGTCGATAGACAAAATATATTTAAAATTGTGGAAAAAAAGAGGATACCCAATACGCCTAAATAGGTGTACTGCAAATCCACGCTTACTGCAAACTATTGGACGATGTTCGGAATTACTTTTTATTCTACAATACATCTACAGTTAACCCTTGCAAAACACTATATTTTGCACTCTTTATGTAGAGAAAAGATGATAAAATGAAAGTAAACGATTGCATTGGTTTTCAGTTCGAGCTCCATCTTTCTGTAACACGTGTTTCGAGGTTTCACCTCTCATCAGAAGAATTATGGTAGCTCCAATAATGCTATTTATCTATATGGCCGTTATCGTTACATAACATGCCTGTGTACGCTAATTGTTCATTGAAAAGAAATCTCCTGACTACTTGTTGCTTCACATATATATCTACCATCATCGTCCAACCTTTTGCATCCAAAGTTGAACATAGGTCTCCCCCAATTTCTTTCAGTTATCTCGGTCTTGAGCTTCCTGCAGCATTTTAATAACTGACAAAACAACAATCACATCCATACTTGATAAATTACTAGAGATACGTAAATATTCTTTATTTTAACATTTCTTACATTTTTATAGAACACAAATCCAGTGGGGCCAGGACCCTTAGATGCTAATTTCGCCGAATATCCATGGCAAGCCATGATTTTGAGAGATACCAACCGCAGCTTACTTTGTGGAGGTGCCATCATTGCTAGAGACGCAGTACTCACTGCTGCCCATTGCATTGAAGGGTAAGAGTTAAAGTTATAATTTTTGCACAGTGGAGATTATTCAGTAAGACTGTGTATTATAAATTATTATTATTAATTATTAAAACTTATTAATATATTATTGTTTAAAAGCCAGCTTTTGACTTTTATGTCAATCATATTTTTATTACTTGTAGGTTACAAACGTCCGACGTCCTTGTCAAAGGTGGAGAATGGAAATTAGGTATTGATGAAGAGCCATTACCGTTCCAGATCATTAAAGTAGCTGCTATAGTTAGGCATCCATCATACAAACAAGACGGATACGACTTGGCTATCTTGAAACTGACGGAGAAATTCAGATTAAGCAAGAACGTGGGTACCATCTGTTTACCGGATGCAAAGGCTGCACGAGAATCATACGGTAACTGTAAAGTTACGGGATGGGGAAAACGCATTTTACAATGTAAGTATTAATTCGTCTTCGGATATTAGGGTTAGACTAGAAGGATATAATTTACCGTATTATATCAACAGCATCTCAATGATCTTCTTCTTCTTCTTCTTGATGTTTCTATCCGTGACGGATGTTAATAATCATCATGGCAATCTTTATCTTGTCTACAGCAATGTGGAAATGCAACACAGATGTTGTGTTGCACCAGATTCTTAGGTACTAATGAGGATGTTCTTTTTTTCCTGGACTTCGCAGGATGGCTTTTAGAAAGGCATATCTGAATTCATTTCGAATAATGTGTCCAAAGTACTGTAGCTTTCGAGATTTGATGGTGTTCAGTAACTCTCGATTTTTCTCCATTCTTATGAGGACCTGTTCATCATTTGTATTTCGGTTAGTCCATATAGTCTTGAGTATTCTTCGATACAGCTACATCTCTAACGCTTCCAGAACAGAGAAGACGTATTATTACAGCATTCTTACTTGTATACCAAGAGATAGATTGTGGCTTTTGAAGGAGGCTCTCATCCTGTTAAAGGTGGATTAAGTTTTTCCGATTTACCCCTAACATCCTAATCGTTGGCCAAGTCTTCATTTATTATAGTGCTGAGGTAGTTCACTCTTTCTACTGGGGCTTGGTTGACATAGAGTTAACCTGTTATCTTTTTCTGACTAATTACCATGAAATTTGTCTTCCTGGTCATTAAAATTGTTAACTGTGGTACGTGATTTTATTTATAAGGACTTATAGATCTTCTAGGTTTTCCTCAAATACAATGGTCCTATCTGCATATCTGATGTTGTTCAACCGGTACTGTAATGATAAAACAACTTTTAAAAATTGTACTACAACTTTTTCTCGTTCAGTGTAAACATCATGATCAATGACTTTGTTATTTTTAAGCATTTCAAAACTTTTTTACTTTCCAGTGCATGCTAGAGGCGCCATAATGCACCACATCGATGCACAGTTAATCGATAAGAAGCAATGTACAGATACTGTGAATGAGAAGTTCCAAGATTCAGCATCAACGCTTAAAGATCATACGTTGTGTGTTACTTCAGATATCGATCAGTGCAAGGTAAGTTAGACAAAATTTTCAATTTATCAGTTCCTATAATCATTCTGTTGTTCAAACAAATTTGCATTTTAGCGAAAGAATTTCCATATTTACAGCTTTTGGTTTTTTATGAAAAAATTGAGTTCTCATTGGATAGAGGTGTACAAGGAAATACGATGTCACCCAAGCTTTTCATAACAGTTCTGGAGTATGATTTCACAAAACTCAATTGGTACAATATATATTATATCGACGGAAAAATACTTAAAAACCTTCGATTTGTCGATGATATTGAACTTATTTCCAATAATTTACACAAAGTCGACATAATGCTTAATGAATTTTCACAGCCAACCAAAGAATTGAGACTGCAAATAAACAAAAATAATCCAAATTTTATGACAAACTTTGCCGTAGAAACAATAAAATTGTTAGAGAAAACAATAGCATAGAAGAGGAAATAAGAAATACAAAGAAGAATTGGTCTGGGATGGATTGCATACGGTAGATAGGAGGACATATTCAATAGTGATGAGCCTTGAGAGACAGGTATACAATCAATGAACGCTTTCAGTTATAAGATATGGATCTGACTTACTAACGTTCACTAAAAATAATGCTAAGAAACTAAGAATCGCGCAGAGGAAAATGGAAAGACCAATATTAGCAAAGATCAAAAGCAAAGAAATTCGTATAAAGGGAATAGAAGACATCATAAAAAAATATTAAAACTAAAAAGCAGCACTGCTCAGCGATGATAGATGGGTTAAGAGATTGCTGGAATGAAGACCCTTGAAGATAACAGAAGCCAGGGAAGACTACTGATGGGTTAGATAGACAACATACAAGGAATAGAACATAACTAAATGCAACTTAGAGCGCAAAATAGAATTTCCTGGAGGCGTATGGAGGAGGCTTATGTTCAGCAGTGGAGGCTAAAAGCTGGATGGTGATGATTATGATCATCATCATCAACCACAATATTGACGACACATCTTGACAGTAGTATAGTCTTGTTAAACTGTAGTCTTATTAGAATATAGAGAATCATCCATTAAGGGATAATAATTTTACAAATTCTGTCAAAAAAAAAATGAACAACTTAACATGATGCAAAAGACGTTTTAAGATTCGCATTATTTTATATCTAGAAGCAATCGCTACCAATAAACAGTCTAAACAATAAAACAAGGCGATTTCGGAAGCAGATTCTAATGTCGAACGAGATATCAGCACAAATACTGAGTCGGCTCCAAAATTCTCATTAGCTGGAACAAATTTTTCACCATGCCGATTCCGAACTTTTATATCATAGTAATCAATTAAATCTACGTGTGAATGTATATCTTGCTTTAAAATTTCAAAATTAGAATCATCACAACCTGAACAGCATAAGGTATCAGCAAGATATAACTGTGATCCTGGTTTACATTTGACCACAAAATCATAATTTTGTAAGTTATTCCTTAATCTTTGTAATCTGAAAGGGCATTGATTGAGTGGCTTTTGAAATATGGCCCCTAAAGATAGATGATCATTCTCCACAACAACTCTTTACTATATAAATACTGATGAAAACGCTGACAACCAAATACAATTGCCAAACATTACTTTTCAATTTGTGCATAATTTTGTTAAGTTGGTGTAAAAGACTTTGATGCATATGCTACTGGACCTCCATTTTGTGTGTGAGTCCTTCGAACTGCCAACTGATAGTACAATTGGTTTAGTTTTGTTAAAGTACTGTAATACTGGAGGATGTATGTACTAATAATTCTTTTAACAATGACGGAAAGATATTCATCCTGTTGATGAATATTTAGCTAGTCACAGTAAACATTGTTTTTCATTAACTTTCTAAAATTATCTGTTAATTTGGACAGATTTGGAATAAATTTTTAATATGTTAGCAGTCCCAAAACACATTTTTTAATCTTTGGCACTTTTTAGTGTAGGCATTTGTTTAATGCCTTCTACTTTACTATCATCAATTACTATACCATACAGCTCAAATGAATTTTTAAACTTCTTCCAATTTGTTGCCATATATCCACTCACTGATATGATCTTGGGTTGTTCGTAGGTTCACTGTATCAGATTATGACTGCGCCATGTTATGATGTTTATTATTAAATTAATATATAAATATATTAATGCTGATTAATTAAAACCAGATTTAATCTTTACACGTCTTTATTAACGACACTGTCTACCAGAAGATGTCATGAGCTTGCGATTCTTATGCAACCCACTTTAAACTAGGGTGCAGAGGCCAAATCATAACATACCAAGAGCAATACGATGCCTGGAAGAAACGCAACATTCATAATCACTACACATCTACTAAGATGTATAGTGTATAGATTCGAAGGAAGGACACTGAAAAACTTTTTCTTGAGACAATACTCATCTTACCTAATGAATAGGTATTGTGTGAGTTTTACATTTTAGGTAAAATGTACGAAAGAATGAAAATCAGATAGAAAATAATTACGGATTTTTGGTAGATATGCCGAATGGGTAGAGCTGGCATCACAGTGATTACGGCGACATTAGTAGCGGCATCCCTTATAATACCCTCCCTTTTTCCTATACTACTTGAATTCCTATTATGGTATATGCTATGACCATTACTGTCAAACTAACAAATCTATATTTTTTGACGCCTTACTAGGTTAGCCAACTAACAAAATTGAAATAAGGCATAAAAAGAAATTCATTTTTGTAGATTTTTTGGTTTGTTGGTGATGTTTTGTTCCCATTTCTTCGACATTCTTAATCAACCCATTTTCAGCTATGAGTGTGAGTAAAACTAGATCTCTTTGGCAGTTTTTTTATCTACTTAGTGATAATAGGGTGATCTTAGCCATACCGGGTGCTTCGTATTCCGAACAATGAGTTTGTTGAATTCAGTCTGTATACCTTTTAGACTGAATACATTGATGGCTTATACACTGGTATATTTTTTGTACATAATTCAAAACAATTCTTAATACTTATAGTTATATAACAGAAAATTCATTTGCACAACTCTGACTAATAATTGTCCATTTCTATGTGCTAATTTAGTTTTCTGTAATTCATCGCAACAAATTTGGTGTTTATAATTAATAATTATTATTCTGTTTCAGGTCGATTACGGTAGTGCTTTAGCCTGTACAAACGACCAAGGTAAATACGTCCTATCAGGAATATACGCCTGGGATACAGGCTGCAGACAAGAAGGCCAAATAGGTGGCTACATTCCAACGGACGTCAAATGGGTCGAAGAAAGTCTAAGAAAACCTTTGAAAGAGTTGAGACGGTTAGATAGAGAATATTTGCTCAACAGCAACAAATAACTTAGCAAAAACGAATTGTTATAGTCCTTTGTAGAGATATAAGCATTACTGAAGAGAAACAATTTTATATTACTGTAAATTTTTGTTATGTAAATACTTATAATAAACATGTGATAGATGTATTACAAATATCTTCGGACTTTATTTATTTAAGGTTTAAGAATGCCAGTAACTTTTTTGTATATTTTTTGTATTATTTAATTTTAACAAAAACTGCCATATTGTCTATTTTGTAAATTTTCTCTAGCTACCTACTATGTTAAGTTTGTACGAAAATTAAAAAGGGAATAAACAGCAATTAATAATTTTCTACCAGTTTTGATTCTAAATGTAGCTTAAATGTTAAACAAAATAGGTTAAGTGTAATATAATAAAAATATAGGTACCTAATTATTTGTCTCATTTATAAACACCTATTTATATTTTTTCCTTACAATCAGTTTAGTAAGCTATGGATTCATAATCTTCAAAACAGTTAGGATACGACCATCGGATACAACCTACTACTTAGTTTACTTTCCTCACTAACCAGGAAAATAGTTTCGTCAGTCACGTGTCATATTAGTCATGTGTCACTTTTTATTCACTTAGGGCTAGTACTTGCTGCTCTCTCCTAATCGCACGATTACTAAATCAGCGGATTAACCTTAATGGTTGGTTACACCTTGATTAAATAAGTTTCGGTACTTTCCGGTTAATTTTGAGCCCGATTAGTTAATCACAATCAAATCGTGGCTGTTAATTTAACTCTCGTAAGTTATGTCATATTATCGGGTAAACTGATGTATTTTACGCGGGAAATCAAGTATATTTCCAAATAGAAATTTATAAATGGAATATCTTCTGTGTCAACTTCTTCTATATCAATATCCACAACATTTATTTGCCAGCATTTTATGTGTTTTATAATTCTTCCAGTAGTTGTTTTGTGTATACTACCAAAATCACCCATAACTAGGTATATAATAACAGCCTATAGCATAAATTCGTAAAGTTATTAACACTTGTGCTGTGATATCAAGCTCATGGTACCTAAAATAAAAAGATTTGTAGATCATATCATGGTACATATCAACAAAAAATATATTTAAAATGTGCATATTTAAAATATGCACATAAATAAACAGCGTGAAACAACACCCTAATTTCACGATAAACTAGTATTAATGCTAGAACTGTACGATATATTTTTAAAAGATACACGTAACATCTTGTTTACAGATAAGTCCTTTTTTTAACTGCCCATCACGATCCATCTGATACCCTACAAAAAAATAGGCATACAAGTGTTCCTTACAAAACACAATACCGTCAAAAAATCAACGTCTGGACTGGTATTTTAGGTGACAACGCAATTGTCCCTTTTTTCATTGTGGACACTTGTCGTAAATACCGAAATCTCTTCTTTTTCTTTTTATATAGGCAAGACTCTGTCTGTTTTTCAATGTGCCTCCAGTAAGTTGTCGTTCCATCGTTTTCGTGTTCTTCCTATTGACCATCTTCTGATTGGGGAACCGTCTCTTGCCGTCTTTACTACTCTATTTGTTGTCATTCGGCTTATATGATCGTTCCATTCTACTCTTCTATATCTTACCCAGTTCTTGATGTTCTCCACCTTGCATCTACGTCGTATATCTGTACTTCTAGCTCTGTCCCATAGTGCCCTAGCATCAATTTCTTTAAGTGTTTTCAACTCTGCTGTTTCTAACATCCATTTTGTCCTCTCTGTATCAGGTCTTGTTTCTGCCGCGTATGTCATTATTGGTTAATAATTCAAATAGTCAAATATTTTTATTTGTCCATATTGTTTCATTTAGGGAGCCTGAAGCTCTGTTTGCTCGATTCACTTGATCTTCCACTTCGGTTTCGAGCTTTCCGTAGCGAAAGAATTTGATGCCTAGATATTTAAACTCCATCACTTGTTCCTATTATCTGACCTTCCAGCTCCAATTTACATCTTAGTAAATTTGCTGTTATAACCATGCATTTTGTCTTTTTTGGGGAAATTTACATGTTAAACTTTCTGGCGGTTATATTAAATTGGTGCAGCATACGTTGTAAACTTAGCCAACGACTCTCTAGTAAAGTCCATCTCCAACAATTAAAATATTTTGGGCATGTTATGAAAGCAAACACAGAAAACAAGGAAAGACTCATAATACAAGGAAAGGTAGAAGATCACGAGGAAGATCCCCAACAAGATGGATAGATCAAATTACAGGAATATGCCAAAGACCTATGCATGAATTAAAAGAAATGACATGAGACAGAGATCTCTGGAGTCGGACAATACACGACATCACGTCGACCACTACACTCCCCCTGGGGGGTCAGGATTGAAGAGAGAGAGACGTTGTAAATCATCTTCACTTTGAGAGAGTAGTATTGCGTCGTATGCATAGCAGATTATTTCAAGTCGTTTTTCTCCCATTTGGTATCATTTTTCAGTTGTTACTTTTTTTTATTATTTCATCCATAATCAGGTTGAACAATAGAGGACTCAGGGAATCTCCCTGTCTTATCCCATTGCCAGCTTCAATAGGGTCGGTTAGTGCTTCTTCTACTTTTACTTTTATTGTGTTGTTTTGATAGATATTTTCGATCGTTTTGATTATTCCTAGAGGTAAAGATAACTCATAATGTCGTGGACCTGACGTAATCATTTAGTGACGTCGATGTACGGTTGAAACAATAATATCAGGCATTGCAGTAAATAAAAACATGCAGTTTTCTTCGGTGCGTTATCTTAGCGAGACAGAGACGAACTAGTTTTTTGTGTTAGTGAAATAGCTTTAATGTTTTTATTTTTTTTTGTGAACAATTCGTTTTAAATATTTTATAGTGAGGTACTATTTATGTTCAGTGCGTTTAAAGTCGTTTTTAACATTTTACAGTGAGATCCTAAAAATGTAAGTTAAATTATGTTTATTTTAATATTTTTTTGCAAATAACTATATGTTTTGTACACTTATGACAAATTAATGAATTAAAAAAAATCACTTTTAAAGTGTGTAAAATCTGATAACTTTATTGCTTATTTTAATATTTTTTGCAAAAGATTCATGTGTTTTGTAAACGCTTATGATAAATAATGAATTAAAATGAAAAGTTCTTTAAAAGTGTGTAAAGTATTTAGTTCCTCGAGTGTATAAAGCCAAAGGATCTCAGCTAGAAATTAAATGCTTTACACATTCTTAAAGTACTTTTCTTTTCAATGTGGCAGAATTATATTTTTTCATTTGGGAGGCCACAAGTGTATATATGGCGTAAATGTGAAGAGTTAGACTTAAAACTCAAATCAAAAACCCTCAATGATACTGAAAAACGTGTAGCTATAGCAGAAAAAATGGTCCATTTGCGTAGAGCAAAAAAATTTATAATAAAATGAAAGAAATCACAAAACTATGTCAAAATGATCGTTCTGTTGGAGGTATTTGTGTAGATTGTGTCAACGCTTTTAATATGTTATTGATACTATAAACGAATGTTGTGTAAAACCATCTATGAAGTCACGTGCGATTACATATCCTTTTATTGTATTAGAGTAAGAAAAGTGATTGAACGATGCAATGGTGAACGCTTGCTTTTGATCTTTTGGTACATCTGCTACAAGTTTCCCCGGATGAGCACGTTTTTTTTATAATATTATTATATTATAATTTACTCTGTTATTAGAGAGTTTTTACGCCCTTTGCTTTTTGATGAACGTTAAACGTAAAACATTATACTTGTCATGCGCCTTGAATAATAAATAAGGATAACGTTTTTACTTAGAATAGTTTTTGAATCCTTTCAGAAATTAAGCTATGATAGATTAACGTTAATTGACATTGACATGACTTTTTTGTTCTAAAAAGCACTACTGGATATATGTGGTTTGTAAAATGACCGATTCAACTAAAAAAAGCAAAAAGGTCCTATGACCTTTGGAAGCCAAGATAGCCCTTTTTTTAGAATCACTGTTGAATTAATTGACAACATTAAGGGCTGAAATTAACTAATCATTTATAAGAAAAGTCAAAATTAAAAGAAAAAACTTGTAGCAAACCAAATTATTAAAAATTGTTTAAACAGGGACAACTATAATCGTTTATAGAGTAAATATTCAGCCAATAAATAGTTTTTAAATAAAAACAACCAAAGTTTTCGTTGTTCATGTAGATAAAAGATGTTTGCAGTCGATACAAGAATAATGTTTACCTGAAACTGTTTTCTTGTCGAATTTCTATATTATCAATCATATTTAAAGGAAATAAATCAAAATTGTAATTAAAAATACTTTATATTGACGTTTTGATTTGCATTTCAGAAATCGTTCTTTTCTTCTTTCAGCGACACCTTATGCCCCTTAAGATGCGTTGATGGGGTTTAATCCCTTAAATATGGTACAATTAGGATAACAGTACCAATTTTAGAACTGATTCGTGATAAATTGACAGATTTTTGTAGTTGTAGATTAAATTATAAGAGCTTCGATAATCAAATTATAATAATCAAAATTTAACAATGTTTTTCAATGTTAATAACGTTCTTCTTGCATGAGTTTCCAATGTAATCACCCTCGCATAAATATGTATATATATTGTCATAAGAATAAAACCACAAATAAAAACCATTCTTTATTTTACAGTAATTACAACAATTAATAAAAACAAACTGAATCTACTGTGCCCCCACCTCAAGTCAGCAACTTCACTTTCGTTTTCAAAATAAGTTGCATCTCTTTGTTGGCGATCGTATAACTGTACCGTATCTTCTCGGCAATGTTATCATTGCCGTTCAAATTTAAATTTTCAAATTTTATATCCAGTGAATCCTCTGGATACGTCTCCGACCAATCTTGTATAATATCACAAAAGCTATTCATTTCCGTTTTTAATTTTTCAGAAATTTTCTGTATGTATTCCTTGCCTTTCGGTTCGGCAGATTTTTTTCGGCCTTTCTTTATTTGGAGTGGCTTTATCAAGTCGCCGCAAAGAACACAGATTACAGATGATATGCTGATTATCTAAAAAAAAAAACAACAATTACAACTTCGGAATAATTGACATCGTAGATTATTTTAATAATAATTAAAAAATACCATAATTTATTAACCTGTTGGGCGAACAATATATGCGGCAACACTGACGAGCGTGTCTTATTGGGACATAACATAATATCAGTCAGTATAGAAATAATTCCAATGAATCCACCGTACTTAAAAACTTAGAAGCGTTGCGTACAATTTATTTGTATATACAACTAATTTTAAATTTATTTGATCTTCATTTTTCCTAATTTAGTGATTCATTTATTATTTTCCTAGATTGTTTTAAACCAGGGGTCTCCAAACTTTCCAGCCTTGGGGCCATACTGATTACTCCAGTAAGTTCCGAGGGCCAAGATGGCAACACTGTATTTTATATATATTTTTTTATATTTTATTATTATTTATATATTTTATATATTTCTGTATTTTATGTGTAATAGAATTTTGCTGAAGTGTGGATCATTTTTTGTAAAATAACGAATAATTTAATTTTTTGTAAGTGTGGTAAGCTGTCAACATTATTAAGTATGTCAAATATTCACCTATTTTTGATATATTTTAATTTAATACAAGGTAGACATAAACAAACAAAATATTTCCACCAGTGGAAATCTCCAATCTCTCCCGAGATTGTCCACTAATAACATAATTATTCTTTCTACTATTTTTCAACGCCATCGTTAGAAATTGTCACAAACACACTTAACTATCCGAAATAATAAGAAGTCTGAAAAATAATAGCCAGCAAATCACTTAAGTGTTACGCACCTGATAACTGGGAGGAGACTAAAGACCCCACCTAAGTGGGACGAGTGCGAGGACGAAGCGATGACAATAGTGGCGTAACTACAAGTCAGTTCCTATGAAACTGTTGTGAAATAAAATAGGGCGTACCTCCTTAAAACAAGTTTGTGCGTGTAACAGTATTTTGATTTGATTTGAATTGTTGCTTTTGTGTGTGATTTAGTAGAATGGAAAAGAAGCGAAAAATTGATAGTGAATGCAGAAAATTCAAAGATCAGTGGAACATTCAGTATTTCGTAATTGAGTCCAGTAACAAGGCGCTATGTTTGATTTGCAATGAAAGCATAGCCGTTCTTAAAGAATATAACATGAAACGTCATTATGAAACAAAACATTCTCAAAATTACTCAAAATATACAGGAATTGTGCGGACAGAAAAATTCGAAGCTTTGAAGTGCGGATTGAAATCGCAGCAATCTTTATTTACAAAAGTCAAAACTGAATAAGACGCGGCAACTCGTGCCAGCTTTCGTGTGGCTCTTGAAATTGCAAAACGTGGAAAACCATTCACCGATGGAGAAATGATCAAGGAATGCATAATTGCAGTAGTCGAAGAAATGTGCCCTGAAAAGGTAAATTTATTAAAAACTGTCAGTATGTCAGCAAACACTGTGGCTCGAAGGGTAGAAAACATCGCTGAAAATATATCCTGTCAACTGTTCGACAAAAATGGACATGTTGAGTGGTTTTCTTTGGCCTTAGATGAGTCAACGGATGTGTCAGATACTGCTCAGGTGTTGATTTATATTAGAGGAGTAGATAAAAGCTATGAAGTGCACGAAGAACTTCTTGATATGTATAGTATTCATGGCACAACTACTGGTACCGATATTTTTAAAGGAGTTGAAATGGCCATTAATAAAAAGAACCTTCGATGGAAAAACTTGAAATGTATTACAACTGATGGAGGCAAAAACATGAGTGGGAAAGATAGAGGAGTGGTCGCTCTTGTGTCAAAGGCTGTAGAAAATGACGGCGGCTTAAAACCATTAGTCTTACATTGTATCATTCATCAACAGTATTTGTGCGGAAAATGTTTGGATATGTCTGACGTTCTGAAACCAGTCATATCAACTGTTAATTTCATCAGATCTTTTGGGTTGAATCACCGACAATTCCGACAATTTATTGCAGAGATTGGAGAAACAGACTTACCTTATCATACTGCCGTACGCTGGCTTAGTTGTGGGAAAAGTCCTTCAGCGCTTTTTTGAACTTCGAGCAATGATCGAAATTTTTTTGAATGAAAAGCACCGCCCTATTACTGAATTACAAAACAACGCATGGCTATGGAAGTTAGCATTCTATGTTGATTTGACAAAACATGTGAACGAACTGAATTTGAGATTGCAAGGAGAAAACCAGCATCTTCCTGATTTATACACTAATATCAAGTCATTCCGGATGAAATTGATACTGTTTCAATCACAACTATACTTCATCTAATTTAGATAACGACTTACGTCATTATCTACGTCAGAGATCGAAGTTGCCAAAGATATAGTTGCCAAAGTATAAAAAAAATCCTGACTCCATTTTAAATCAAATAGGTCACATAATTATTGCAAAAGTATTACCATCTCTTTACAACGACTATTTAAATTCTTACGTGACATTTTTGAAATAAAACACACTAATTTTGTTCTAAAAAGAACAGATTTTATTAAATAGGTAAAAATATAAAACAAGAGGTATTCACTTTAAAATTCAAATAATAAAGTACAAAAAGTGTCAACACCGCAACTGTCAAATAAGTGTTACCAATTTATGCCAAAATTTTACCTTCGTTCGATTACAGTTACAGTGTGTTCCGAACAAATGTTCTTGATAAAAACTCTTTATAATGGATTTATACAAATTAAATGAAACATATTATTGCGTCTTTCTTTCAGTTAACATTAATAGAAATTTTTAAATATTATTTCTACGCGTATATAATAAAAATATGTCTAGTGGCTGCAATGTCAGTGTAATCGGTAAAGTGATTCTAAAAAGAACACACCTAAACCCTAAATATTTCGTGTTGGTATCATATGACGTCACAGGCTATGACACCGATCACGTGCATCGTTATATAAATTAGATGAAGTGTACGAAGTAAGTGTTTTTCACATTTTAAAACATGTGAAATATTCAGCCACACTACTGAGACTGAGTTTCCTATCGATTTTGCAATCGAAACTTTGAGTGCTTTGAAGATAAATTTTGATACTCGTTTCTCGGACTTTGATGCCATTACGAATCAAATTAAGATTTTTCAGAATCCTTTTGATGCTGACATTGAAACCCTAGCCCCGGAACTTCAAATGGAAATTATTGATCTTCAGTGCAGTGATATAATTAAGAACAAATATGAAAACTCATCTTTGTTGGAATTTTATAAGAGTCTTCCACTGACACAATTTGATAATTTGCATAAATTTGCTCGTGGGCTGTTTTCCGTTTTTGGTACTACTTATTTGTGTGAGAAAACCTTCTCCAAAATGAAGTACACAAAAAATGTATACAGATCTAAATTAACTGACGAGCATCTTAAATCTCTTTTAAAATTGGTACAAGTAAAATTAGTCCACAACTACAAACTATTGTCGGTGGAAAATCTCAATTACATACATCTCATTAGCATTTCATATGTCATGTTTGTTATAAGGTATGTGTTGTTCATTACTTACAATGTATAAAATGTTAGTTGGATTCATTTCAATAATTTGTTAGTTATTATATGCTGGAGTTAAATTTACTGCATAAATTATACATGTCTTTACTCATTACCATTCTGTGTTTCTTTATCCAACTTATCACAAACATTTTATTTGCTATAAAAAATATTTGTTCTCTAAAAGGAGTTTTCAAGTATGTCTCCGCGGGCCGGACAAAATCTGTCTGCGGGCCGGATGTGGCCCTCGGGCCGTAGTTTGTAGACCCCTGTTTTAAACTAATACATTCTCTAAATAACTACAGTAGTATATAAAAACGGATCAGTCAAGTCGTTGTTTAGCGTGGATACAAGAAAATGAGTTTTATGTCACTTCTTGACCAATACTAATATCTCGAAAAGAGGTTATGCACAATATTCGAGACAAAAGGGAAGAACTAAAAAATTAATACGGCCGGTTTGCGCTCGACCGTTTTGCGCCTTACCTGAAATCTACCGGTTTGCGCTTTGCAATTTTCATAATAGAAATATCTAACTACTATAGTTTCCTTAATCGGCCGATTTGCGCTCTCTTGCAATATAATTTTAATTTCATTCTACAATATTAGTCTGGTGAACCTGCAATGAACAAACTAACATGTCAAATAAACAGAAACATATTTTTCCTTTAGATTTGAAAAAAAAATGTCAAATCAAAACTAACAAAATTATTAAATTTTTCTAATACTGTCGAACAACAGAGTGTTCTTTAATCTTTAATACCTCTGTTTATAATCCTTCTACCTGGAAGTTAATTGTTTAGATATAATTAGTAACTAGAATTCCAAAATGAGAGATCGCTGGAACTAACTTTCCTTTCTACCTGATAATGCTAACTGGTAACTACTTAAGTCATTAACAAAGGGTATGGTAACAGAAAAATTACCTGAAAATTCTACGTGATAATGACCATATTGATGGTCAATCATTTCTATTGCGTTCTTTGAGATAGTAGGATCAAGAATTATTGTGAATCAGTGTGAGTTAAAGTGAGTTAGTGTTTTAAAAATGGATGTGCAAATTATTGAACTTCGAAGGGAAAACCATGTGCATTGTATAAAGGGTACAGTTTTCGTATAATAAAAAAAACAAATAAAGATGGTTCGGTTTTTTGGAGTTGTTTGAAAGAGAAAACTGAAAAATGTCGAGGCCACATAATTATGGATATTAACACAATAATTAAGGAAGCTGAATATCTGCGTAAGCCGAGTGTTGCAGCGACAGAAGTGAAGCAGTGTGTCTTCAATGCTCGAAAAAGAGCTATGGGAGACAATAGTTATTTGCCGATGTCAAAAATATATCAAGCTGAATTTCAAAGATTAATATTATAGTCAAGGACTGGATTTCGTGACAGACATCCCAAAATTCTCTTCAGTGAAAAGTGGTTTAAACGATTGTAGAAAACGTGCACGTGGGCTGCTCACAGATCCAGCGGCAGCATCCGAAATAGTATTTCCAGAAGAAATTATTACAATGAGCGACAAAACGAAATTTTTATTAATCGACAAAACCACTCCTCGGGATACAGAATCTTGGTGTTTGCCAGCAACAAAGCTAGGGAGATTTTGGTTAACAGTAAGGACACTGTATTTATGGATGGAACATTCAAAAGCTGCAGTAAGCAATTAGTCAAATATATACCGTTCATATCGATATTGGTAGTACGTCAGAGGAGACAAATACAATTCCATTGAAATTTGCGTTGCTTCCTAACAAAACCAAAGAGACATACGATATGATATTTTCATCAACGAATGAGAAACTATCAAATTGGAAACCATATCTTATAAAACTGGATTTTGAACAGGCAGTGATTGGTGCATTAGAAAATTATTTTCCCGAAGCCAAAATTTCTGGTTGTAATTTTCATTTCAATCAGTGTATTCTGAAAAAATGGAACAGTTTTATGGCTACTTTGTCAAACAATGGTTAGAAAATACTCACATTACCAAGGAAATGTGGAATTGCCATGATCAAAGACATCGCAGTAATAACGTTTTAGAAGGTTGGAAATCTGAATACATTAATAAGACCACATCCCAATGTATTCCAATTAGTAAGGTGCCTGGTTAAAGAAGCAGAATATTATGATCACCTTTATGATCGATTTACTTTTAATCTAGAAGAAAAGCGGCGCAAGAAAACATATATTAATCGTGATGAAAGAATATTCAAAACTTTACAGAAACATAAAGATACAAGGGACTTAAGGTGGTGTTTAAGACATGGCACATCCAGAAGTTGCAATAAATATACAATTTATTATTCCCAAGAATTTTTGTATTTTACTGTATAAAGAGTGTGAAAAAAAACGAAAAAAAATACAAAAAATATTAAAAACAAAACAAAAACAAATTAACAAATAAAAAAAGAAAAAAAATGAAAAAATAAAAAAAACATCTGAACACGCCAATGTTTATATGTATTATGTATAAACTATGACAGTCCTAAGCTTGAATGAAAGTGTGAAGGGAAGATGGTTTATTTCTATTTTTTTATAGTTTTATGATTTTTTAAAACTAATTTTACTAGCCTAACCGTTACCTGATCGTTATGGTAGAATAAAATTAAACGTCGATTACAAGAGAGCGCAAAACGGTCGATATAAGAAAATGATTAGCTATACATCTCCATTAAGAAAGCGTTAGAGCGCAAACCGGCCGATTTCAGGTAAGGGCGCAAAACGGTCGAGCGCATATCGGCCGACACCCTAAAAAATAACCTACAAAAAATCAAATTCCTAAAAGTCTAAATGTCCCGAAAATAGCCTACATGTATTCAAAAAATGTACCTACCTCTACACAATTAACAGCTATTTCCAAAGATTTCCGCTTGTCGAGAAAATCATGTGGTTTCTTCAAAGTATGATTCTTTAGCACTTCAGTTAATTTAGTAAGCTCTTCTATAACGCACGACGTGCATTTCTCTACGGATTCATTATCGTCACTAGTCAGACTTATAAGAAATTCGAAAAATGAACTAAAAACTGTGAAATATGGAGCCTCCAACGCACCATGCAACCTGGAAGGTAATGGTAAAGGCAATAGACCCTAAAAACGTTAAATACATACACTTAACATGCTGGACGTAATTGAAATATTACAATTCTGTTCACATTAATGTAGAGTAATAAATTTTTAATTAATAATTGTAGAGTAATCTGCTTCATCGAAGCTATAAGTAAATAGTTTGAATGTTAAATACATGAGGGAGAAGCTGCCCTGTGGCAACTCTCCTATTATATTTTTTACATTAGATCATAATATATTTAATTTATTAAATCTGTTGGCCATTGTTTCTTCAGTCGTCTTGCGAATTCGGGAGGAGTGTTTAGCAGTCTTGCTTCATCATTTGGATGACTTCTCAGACCATCAAGGTAGCTCTTTGTGATCCTTTGAATTTCTTCCTCTACCAAAGGTGTAGCTGAGTCCTCGTGTAGGGTTTTATTGCTTACATACCAGGGCGCGTTGAATATTATTCTCAATATTTTTGATTGGACTCTTTGTATTATCTTGATATTTGATGGCTTTGAGCAACCCCAGAGTTGAACGCCATAGGTCCAAATTGGTTTTATCATAGATTTATACAGGAGCAGTTTATTTTCAGTATTGAGTTTTGATTTTCGACCCATAAGCCAGCTCATTTGTCGTATTTTGATGTTGATCTGGGTTTTCTTGGCTTGAATGTGTGGCTTCCATGTTAATCTTTTGTCAAGGGTTAGTCCCAAATATTTAACTTGTGTGCTGACTGGTAATTGTGTATCGTTTAATGTGATTGTTGGACATACATCCCTTCGGTTTGTAAATGTAACTTGGGATGACTTCGTTTCATTTACTTTCACCTTCCATTTGTTGAGCCATGTTCCCAATTGGTTAAGGTGGTTTTGCAGTTGTGCAGACGCGATAATGGGGTCCTCGTTGACAGCGATTATGGTGGTGTCATCAGCGAACGTTGAAATTTGGGTTGTTTCAGTGGTTGGGATATCTGCGGTAAATAATAGGTAAAGGAGAGGACCCAGGACGCTACCCTGTGGTACGCCTGATTTAATGGGAAAATATGTGGAAGTTGCTGTGTTATATTTTACTTGGAAGTAACGATCTTCAATGTAGGATTTCATAATTAGGTAGTAGGGAGTTGGAAGAATGCTTTTGAGTTTGTATAAGAGTCCAGTGTGCCATACTCTATCAAACGCCTTTTCTACATCTAAGAATGCCGCTGTACAATATTTTTTTTTTCCTCAATAGCAGTAAGGATTTTTGTTATAATTCTATGAGTCTGTTGTGTTGTGGAATGTCTCTCTCTAAAACCAAACTGGTGTGTGGGTATTTCTGCGTCTAGGTTAATGTCCTTCTTCAGTCTATCAAGTAGTAGTCTTTCGAAGATTTTAGACATTGTCGGCAACAGGCTGATTGGTCGATAGGATGATGTTTTATTTGGAGGTTTGCCTGGTTTGTGAATCATTATTATTTGCGCAAATTTCCATGTGATTGGGAAATATGTCAGTCTGAGTGCACTATTGTATATTGTAGTTAACATGACCAATGCTCTTCTCGGAAGATTTTTCAGTATTAATCCTGTTATTAGGTCAAATCCAGGTGCTTTGTGGTTATTGCATTTTTCTATTTCTAGTTTCACTTCTGATGGACTGAATGGTGTTATTGGGGGCGTCATAGGGCAAGCACTATCCAGGAATTCTCTTATTAAGTTTCCATCGTTATCATTATCTGCTTGGTGTTCTTTAAAAATACCAGCTAAGTATTCTGCAAATGTTAACGCTTTTTCCTGGTCTGATCTTCTTAGGAATTGGATTACTTCTGCTTTATGGTTTGCTAAACCATTTGCGTTCCACTCGGCGATTCGAACAGATCTAACGAATTTTGTTAATTAATGTTGTTAGCATGGTAAGGATCATGCTGTTTTGATTCATTAGTTGGGTGAACATTGCTTTAAATTCGTTTAAGAATAAGTTCATTTGAGACCCTATGTCAGCTACTTGATTTCCTGCTCTTACTGCTTGGGCATAGGATTGGGTTCCATTCTGTTGTTGGTACTGTGATTGTTGACTCTGGTACTGTGAAGTTGGTGCTGGGTTAACATTTTGATGTGGGTTCGGATTATTATGGGTCGACTGATTTCCGCTTTGGCGATTATTTCTTGCATTTTGTAAGTCCTTGTAAATTACACAGCCTTTATAGTTTGCAGTGTGTTCTCCTGTACACAGGGCACATTTTGCTGGTGTATTTCTGGGTTTTGTACATTTTGGTGATGGGTGACTTCCTCCGCATTTCACGCATGCGTATGGTCTTGTACAGTACGCTTTTGTGTGTCCATAACGTTGACAGCGCTGGCACTGTGTTATATTGTTCTTTTTGTGAGGGGGTTCAAAGCTGACTTTCATATTGCCGATATGATCCAGTGTATAAATGTGTTTGTTGTTTTCTTTGGGTTCTAGGTCCACATAGAACATTGACAAAGGTGTTTTATTGACTCTGTGCAAAACGTTAATGATATTACGGACAGAGTAATAATTTACCTGAAAACTTTTTAGTCATCATGAAGAAACATATTTTCACTATTATTGTTATTTCACCTATTATTTATTAAAAAAAAATGCTACTAATGTGGATATTTAAGAACCCTTGGCAAATTTAGTATGTCATACTCTGTTGTCCAAGGAGTATTTCGATACCCTGATTAGCAAACCTACTATTTTTGTGAAAGCCGCTTTTTAATAGCAAGCTCAAAAGAAATCAATTCTCTACAGACTGACAAATCTCCGAACTACAGAAAAATATATTCTGTGTTATATTAAAGAATTAGCGTACTCTTCCAGTCTGTCGTTTTCATGTTGGCACAACTTCCAGTTCTCATGTTGTTATTCTATGAGAAGCATCTAGGCTGATCGTTCTTTTATTGTTGTTATATTTTGATGTTATTTAAGTGCTCTTTTGAACTTTAAATATGGAAAAGTAAGTACAAAACAATTTAATTTTTAAGTCTAACCTGTACCATGCAAAAGCAGTGAGTTTATAATAATGATTTAATAAAAGCATGGAGATACGAGATTTGCTAAAATTTTATAGGTTATGTAAGGTCGTTAAGTAATTGGAGTTAAGAGTTTTGCATTAATTCTAGGTAGGCACACTGCACAAAATTTTGTAAAATAATATCAATTAAGTGAAATATTGTGGGCAAATAAATTTGTACATACGAAGGAGCCTACGTCAAGTCATATGTCTATAGTTTATTTCGGAGGTACAGTTGAGGTTCCCGAAACTCATTGTACTAAATTTGGTTTATATTCTTTCAGAACATCGACAGGTCAAAGGCTGCTAAATATGGCACTATAGTCCAACAAAGCAGTCGTAAAACTCGGCCAAACAAGAATAGTGAACAGCTTACAAAAAAACTATCAGGTCGTTCGGATCATGAAAATGTTGTTTCGACTGATGTAGAGTGTACTGTTACTATCCCAAAGAGTATAAACATTGGCGCAATAGCACCAATAATAATTAATGTATTTCTTGTAATCTCTTCAAACAAACAATTTACCTAATGGGATAAGCAGCTCATATTCAATGGATAAAAGCTTACATAAATTGGAAGACCCAACTCTAAATATTGGCAACAAAACAGTTGGGCAGTTGCAGAATTACGAATATATTACACCTAATCAAACTGAACCTTGTATTGATATTACTAATAATAATGACATTGTGAATAATATTATTAGCGATGAGTAATCAAAAAACAATGAAGAGTATAGGCCCAATGAGCGTGAACATAAAATTGACAATGACTTTGATCAGAATTCGAATAAAATATCAAGTAAACCAAACGCACGAAACGACACCAAGTGAATCAGCAAAATTGGAACATTTAGGAAAAATGTAACAGCGAGGAAATTACGAAAGGAATATTGCGGTAAAAGACAAACAAAAAATGGACCAAAGCACGTGGTGGTCGTGTGTATTAAGGTATAAAAAAAATGCTTATTAAAAGCTTAAAATTTTTATTTTAAAGAACATCATAAAGATCTTTTCGGAATTGAATCATTCCATCATCAGTTTAATAAAAAGTTGTCAAAAAAAAAACATTGTATGGCCACATGAAAACATAGGAAGGAACTCCGTATTAAAAAACTATCCTCATGGTGTTTATGAAGGTAAATGTAATAGACTGTTAATTTCTAGATTACTAAAAACTGAAAATGGGGCATCTTACATGAACCCCTGTAGTTGGTGAGGTTTTATTGACTTACATTACCTCTGATCTGTGCTGGAGTCTAGGGCACTATTGCTATCCGTTGCTTAACTATCAATCAAGATAATTCTGATGGAATTCCCCAGATTAAGAGACTGGGCCGATATCAAGCACAAAATAATTTGGGTAATTTTATCCGAATTGTCTTGCAACGGATAGTATTTTAGTTTTAAATATCACTAGTATAAAAAGTAGTTCAGTTATAAAGTGCCGACAAGATATTCTTGACGGCCAAGTATAAGGTTAGGGGCAGAACAAAACGACAAGACGCTTCCAGACAAAGACGAGAATACGACAAGGCGAAAACTTGTCATACCTACCATAATTTATTATTCTACACTAATGTGAAAAGACCTTTATGTATTTTATAATTATAGTCTTCATTATTTTTATGTGAATTTACCTTTATTTTACAATTTAAGTTTCTTCTATAAAATTTTATTTTTACAAAAAAGTATATCACAGCAACCTAGATGAAGTTAAAGGCTCTTACCTGTTGAATTGGAGCAATTTTTTTATCTAAAATTTCTTCATATAAACTCTTCCACTCATTTAACAGTTTCTTCAAAGCTTTTATACATTCACTTCTGGTCCCATCTATGGATTTCACAATTTCTATACCGTGTGCTATTCCGATTAGAACAGAAGATCGTAATTTTAAAAACCATATGTCCTGTTCGTACAAGTCTTTGGTTTGTTGCCAGTCTTCCGGTTGACCATTTATTCGTTCTGGGTCCCAAGTTGTATATACACTAAGGTCGTGATTGTCGCTGAAAATGATAAATAATTTTTAATTCTTTTTCAGATACATCTATTTGTAATAAGGCCGGCTGAAACTTTCAATAAACATTTATTTTGACATATACGCATGCGTAGTTGTACGCCCTTTATTACTGTGCTTTCATGATATTATAACAAACAAGATATCCTCACTTGCCGTTCTAATTTTAATCGACTTTGCGCATGACATCATAGCGAGACAAAGCCAGGGTACTTGTGTGTATCATATTTTAACGATGCATCATATGGCAACGTTGTTTCATTACTGTAATGAACAACTTCGAAACTTAAACTGTTAACGGTAAGTATAACCTCGATGCCATATCTTGCACAAGAAGTCACAACTAGTTACTTTCTGTGAAAACGTGGATTGAAGATTAATAAATAATTTGTAAAATTAATTAAATATATGAATCTACGATTTGATTGTGTGTATTACAAACAAAATAAATATTGCTGCAAAACATAAATTAAATATAAAAGGCCGGTAAAATGTAAAGAATTTGACCATAAAGGAAAAGCGGGTCATACTTGAGACTTTCTTCTTATGGTGCCCTATCCAATTAGTGGATGTTGACGACAATTCTGGAATACTCCTCTCGATCTTGTGTGGCTCTAAAAAGTGCATGGGCATCGAGATTTGTCCAATCCCGTATGTTTTTAAGCCATGAGTATTTCTTTCTTCCGATGCCTCGTTTTCCTTCTATCTGCCCTTCCATAATAAGCTTTAAGAACTGGTACTTGGAATTTCGAAATATATGACCCAGATAAGCAGTTTTTCTTCTTGAGACTTTATGAATATCATTTAGACATTTATTTTACAAGCTTTGTGATTTTTCTCTTGCGGATATTGTAATTATCTTTAATATTTTTATTTAGAATTCGTATTTTAAAATACATTTTAGATCTAAAAAAAAGTAATTTTACATCTCTGCTAACATTTACATATTTTGCAGCTTCTATTAAGTTTTTGAATAATTTTTTGTTATTTTTAATGTGTCGCCATTATAACTACGAAAAAATGTTCCAGTTGACTTCATACTACATACAACCAAAGTAACGTTTTTAAAGACATATCAAAAATAAAGTATTACTTCAAGTTCTATTAAAATGGGCATTTATATATTTTTATCCATAGAAACAATCTTTTATCCATTCTTCTTTTGCGTCTATTTTCAGGCAATGTTTTAGCGCTTGGGGATTTTATTAAATGAAGAGAAGTTATGGCATCATTTCTTAGACGCCTTTCAGACGAGGATACTGTATCCAAGATACGCGTATCCGAGACGCAGATATTGCATAGGCTCAAATGGAGCTTTTCACACGGGACGCGCGACGGATACAGTATGCGAGATACCGAATGTGTATGCCAGCTACAGAAGAAACATTACGTTAAATGAACCCTTTCAGACACAAATTCTGTATCTCGCATACAGTATCTCACATATAGTATCCTCGTCTGAAAGCCCTCTTAACATCCACTGTTTGTCAGGCAATCCCAATAATTTTTCTTTTAAACAATTCCTATTCTTTACGCATTTGTTTGTCTCTAGGAAACACAAAAAAATGACACGTCGAAAAAGTTTTACTTTTTTATTATTATTGTTTAAAAACCCACCACTGCACAATACATTATGGCAAACAAATAATTATTAGTCTTCTTTATAAAGTAGCTACAGGTAGTTGAGAGGAAGTTGCGTATGACAAACAAATTAGGTGATATTAACACAGTAAACTGAATGTTTTCACCACAAAATTTATAAAACAATATAATATACAAAGTATTTACTACATCAATGAATAAATAAAAATATCATTCACTACGTTTTGAAATACACAGGATAGCAAACTCCATTCAGCAAAATAATGAACATGAACACTTATGAGCATTTAATTTGCCGTCATTAAAGTTGTCTCGGGCTTACGTCATAAAAACATGCGCGTTGACTTATCTTATTTTGTTATAGTATCATGCTGTGCTTTAATAAAATAAACTTTTATTTAAAGATCCCTTAGTTTGACGTAACTGCCAATTACGTGTAGAAAGCAAAAAATACGTATAACCTCACTTACATTTATATAGATATTTGATGAAATTTGTGGTATGTTTCGTTTCATTTATTGAATATTTTTTTTAGTATTATTATTATTCTCAATTAGTAAATCTTCATTATTATTGTTTACGTTATACCGATAATATTCATAAGTATTTCAAACAACTCTATTTCTTCATCAATTGCGTCAGCTCTACTTGCTATATCTAATGGTCCTTCCAAATTGTAAGATGAGTATTATGGATTATTGTATTCTTTAAATGTCAATTTAATTAAATTAAATTGGGTATATAAGTAACAATTAAGATCTTATAGGCATTTATAGGTTTTTTTTTATATCATACAAAAATATTTACTGTCATTTGTCAAAATAAAATATTTCTTTACCATGTTAAGGCAGATTTATCGGTGCACCAAAACCTAGGGACAGTGTTTTCTGTTATTTACCGACAAAATGTCTCGAAATTTGGACACTTTATTCGAAATTATGTTGCCTTTAAAATGATCGCCTTCGTGACGTCAAATCTCATGAACGTACGGTCAGTTAGTTCGTGTTAAAACTAATTTGAGTGGTGAATAATGCATTTTTTGTCATTAAACTACTCGTCGGCCGGCGCCACGGAGTAAAGATGGTCTGGCGTAAGCAGTGTAGAAAAGTAAGTGATACGCCCATTTCAAATCGGTGTGTAAAGTAAGTGATACGCCCATTTCAAAAAAACAGAAGTTAAAACACTTCACACTTGTATTGTGGTATAAAAACAAATAGTTAAAACTTTATAAAAAGTATCGTCAAAATTTAAGTACTAGAATAATCTTTTCGATCTGAACAGATCATCCTCAGTGCCTTGTGTAATTGTAGCTAACAATAAAGTTATCTGTGATACCTCTATATGGGTTTACATCATTCCAAATGTTACATTTTGATTATGTTGTGACTCTCGGTCGATGACAATGGATACATTTTAATTACTTTAGTGACTACATGTCTCCCTGCTCGATTTTTAACACGTGGTACTTGTCAGTTAAAACGACACAGACCAACTGGCTGAGGTGACAGGAATATAATTTAAGAAGACAGCTGAACGTGACTAGGTATAGGTGTGTTCCGAAACTAATGTAATTTTTTAATTGTGAAATTATAAAATTTATTTTGTTGTAATAATAACCTTATTAATGATCCTGTAGTTAAAATTAAATTTGTTTAAAATGATGAAATTTATTGTCTTAAATCAGCAAATCTCTATATTGAAAAACTATTAAATTAATAGGATTAATATTTTTTAAGGTTGAATATATGACATCATAAGTGGTGAGAAAGTGATAAATGTAGAAATGAAAGGAAGTGATGTGGTACTATCCACATAAAAGTGTAGATAGTGTATAAAAAATTAGTATATACTAAAAGATTAAGTTGAAATTCAATGAAATGGAGTAAAAATTATTTTTGATTGGGTAATGGTGGTTGTCTAGCAACGGTAAAAGACCTGTGTAAATCTCTGGAGTTAAATTTTTTTTAATTAGTAAAATGAATAGTCTATTAAAAGTTTTATGGGATATGATAACAGAATATGATATTCTAACTATTATTATATTGTAGTTTTTATTAACCATTATTTTCCTTATTTTATAACAAATCACCAAAATTTACGGAATATTTCATTACGCTTTCAAATTTAATTGGAAATGTTTATAAGTAGATGTTCAGATGTTTCTAATGTGTCAATTTAAATAGGATGGAAATAGGGTTGGAAGGTTACTAATATAAAACACTTCACACTTGTATTGTGGTATAAAAAACAAATAGTTAAAACTTTATAAAAAGTGTCGTCAAAATTTAAGTACTAGCATAACGTTTTCGATCTGAACAGATCATCCTCAGTGCCTTGTGTAATTGAAGCTAACAATAAAGTTATCTGTGAGACCTCCATATATGGGTTTACATCATTCCAAATGTTACATTTTGATTATGTTGTGACTCTAGGTCGATGACAATGGATAAATTTTAATTACTTTAGGGACTACATGTCTCCCTGCTCGATTTTTAACACGTGGTACTTGTCAGTTAAAACGACACAGACCAACTGGCTGAGGTGACAGGAATATAATTTAAGAAGACAGCTGAACGTGACTAGGTATAGGTGTGTTCCGAAACTAATGTAATTTTTAATTGTGAAATTATAAAATTTATTTTGTTGTAATAATAACTAATATCTTATTAATGATCCTGTAGTTAAAATTAAATTTGTTTAAATGATGAAATTTATTGTCTTAAATCAGCAAATCTCTATTATTGAAAAACTATTAAATTAATAGGATCATAAGTGGTGAGAAAGTGATAAATGTAGAAAATGAAAGGAAGTGATGTGGTACTATCCACATAAAAGTGTAGATAGTGTATAAAAAATTAGTATATACTAAAAGATTAAGTTGAAATCAATGAAATGGGAGTAAAAATTATTTTTGATTGGTAATGGTGGTTGCCTAGCAACGGTAAAAGACCTGTGTAAATCTCTGGGAGATAAAATTTATTTTTAATTAGTAAAATGAATAGTCTATTAAAAGTTTTATGAGATATGATAACAGAATATGATATTCTAACTATTATTATATTGTAGTTTTGATAGTGTTAATATGGAATTACCTTATTGTGAAGTATGTTGAATGAATATAAATGAAGCTGAGAATGAGTGAATGAAAATATTAATATAGGGAAGAGGAAATGTAAACTGTTTGATATGTATGTGAATATGTATTAGAGAAAAAATGAAATAATACAGCCTATATGTAGAGTTAGCTGTGAGAAGATTAGATTGACTGCATATCTGAGTTAGTTAAGTGAAATATGTATTATTATAAGTGGTAGTAGGTCCACAGACTGAAAGTGTCGAAGGGATGTGTAGTGATAAAAGATGAAGTTTGATTGTAGTGATGGAGTTTAAGTTTAAAGTTAATGATTGAAGTTAATAATGAAGAATAATATTGAAACAAGTAAAAAGACAATTAAGGAGACCATAAGAAGTAAGAGACATGAGGAAAGAATATGTGAAGAAGTCAGAAGAAGAGTCACAAAAGAACTGGCAGAAGGATGACAAAAAGAAAGAAACTGTCATGGGATAACATGGTATAAGAGGAAGTAGCATGATGAATAGAAAGACAGAAAATGATAGGGTGGAAATAAGACTGAAAAGAAATAGAGGTGGACACATCCCTTCGACACTTTCAGTCTGTGGACCCCACTACCACTTATAATACATATTTCACTTAACCAACTCAGATATGCAGTCAATCTAATCTTCTCACAGCTAACTCAACATATAGTCTCTATTATTTCATTTTTTCTCTAATACATATTCACACACATATCAAACATTTTACATTTCCTCTTCCCTATATTAATATTTTCATTCACTCATTCTCAGCTTCATTTATATTCATTCAACATACTTCACAATAAGGTAATACCATATTAACACTATCAAAACTACAATATAATAATAGTTAGAATATCATATTCTGTTATCATATCTCATAAAACTTTTAATAGACTATTCATTTTACTAATTAAAAAAATTTAACTCCCAGAGATTTACACAGGTCTTTTACCGTTGCTAGGCAACCACCATTACCCAATCAAAAATAATTTTTACTTCCATTTCATTGGATTTCAACTTAATCTTTTAGTATATACTAATTTTTTATACACTTTCTACACTTTTATGTGGATAGTACCACATCACTTCCTTTCATTTTCTACCTTTATCACTTTCTCACCACTTATGATGTCATAAATTCAACCTTAAACATTAATCCCATTAATTTAATAGTTCATTTCTTTTTCAATAATAGAGATTTGCTGATTTAAGACAATAAATTTTATCATTTAAACAAATTTAATTTTAACTACAGGATCATTAATAAGATATTAGTTATTATTACAACAAAATAAATTTTATAATTTTACAATTAAAAATTACATTAGTTTCGGAACACACCTATACCTAGTCACGTTCAGCTGTCTTCTTAAATTATATTCCTGTCACCTCAGCCAGTTGGTCTGTGTCGTTTTAACTGACAAGTACCACGTGTTAAAAATCGAGCAGGGAGACATGTAGTCCCTAAAGTAATTAAAATTTATCCATTGTCATCGACCTAGAGTCACAACATAATCAAAATGTAACATTTGGAATGATGTAAACCCATATATGGAGGTCTCAGCAGATAACTTTATTGTTAGCTTCAATTACACAAGGCACTGAGGATGATCTGTTCAGATCGAAAACGTTATGCTAGTACTTAAATTTTGACGGCACTTTTTATAAAGTTTTAACTAATTGTTTTTTGTACCACAATACAAGTGTGAAGTATTTTATATTAGTAACCTTCCAACCCTATTTCCAACCTATTTAAATTGACACATTAGAAACATCTGAACATCTACTTATAAACATTTCCAATTAAATTTGATGCGTAATGAAATATTCCGTAAATTTTGGTGATTTGTTATAAAATAAGGAAAATAATGGTTAATAAACAATATTGTATAAGTATACAGTATACTTACATCAATGATTTCCAGTTTATGTAACCATCATGTGGAGTTATGGCTAAAGAATATAACGTTTCCAGCGACATACATTCCACCAAATTTAAGATAATCCTATCTACGACTACCGTTGTATAATGTAAACTGTTGTTCAGTCTTTCTCTAAAGTCCATAAACTCGTCGATTTTCAAAAATGAACCAAATTTATATGAGAACGTCAAATGATCCGAACTCTGAAAGACCACGGTTAGTAAATATGAAGTTGTTACCAAGGATTGATAAATGTTTAACGGGATGGTCAGATGGTAAATTTTTTTGGACGCCAAAATGTTCTTTGCTTGATTTTTTTCTATACCGTTGCATTGTGATCGTTCTATATTACGCGACAGCGTAATAAGAGCAAAGACACGCACCTAATGCCCATCTTTCATGGAGCCATGTTTGATTTTTCAATACTATGGCATTTTATTCGCCAAAAATACGTATCCAATGCTTTTCTGGCTTAACGCCACATTTCTTTTTTCAATACCACTGCATTATATTCGAAAAAAACCACATGCGATCTCGCACGTCAATATCGGACCAATATCAACGGAGATACACGAATCTACAGAAGAAAAAGAAGAGCGACCATACGTTATAGTGACCGATTGGCTCACTGTCCATTACTTTTAAGTATTCGCACATCTCACTCTTGCACACATCCCTTATAGCATATTTGAGAGAGTATCGAGTGAGTTTATGCCTGTGTAGAAAATCTATTATGTTCCACAGATATTTTATTTTTAGGTTACTTCTGAAACTGCAAACTAGCAAAACTGGAAGATATGTGTAAGTTGATTATTTATTTGGAGGCTTTATTTGACAGATACACTATCTTTAGTGACGACTACGTGTATTTTCCTAGTAGTATGATTTTATACGCCCAAAGTTTGTAAAGATGGCATCGCTAGCTCTTACCACCGGCTTGTCATTTCTCCGCATCCCTGCACTCTCACCAGCCGGCCACCACTACCATCGATGCATGCTGGAAATGGAACACCATCAAACGATATAAAACGCGCTCTATTAAGACAGCGAACGGAGTTCGGACCGGACAACTAATCTGGTAAGAACTTCAACCTCAGGCCCTTAAGTATTGATCAAAACCAACCGTGTTTCCTTTCGGCGACCAAGAATTGACTGATTGCTTTCCGTTCCTGATCCGTATGGAGTAGTGATCGATTGGCCACCTCTAACCTAGAGGTAAACTAAGTATTAATCAGTCTCACCCGGTGTTGGGGTATTGATCAATACATCGTCCTTTGCTTCAACCATCCTAGTATCGACAATATTTATATTTCGTAGGTATCGACAGTGAACCATAGCGCAGTCGATTTTGTTTAGGATTCGTATTTTTATTTGATTGTACAGGGTTTCTCATTATATTTTGATCCCCCACTTATTTTCCTGAATTTCGGGAATACAAAAAAAACTTTCAAATAAAAGTTGTATTATTTTATCTGTACCTATACCAACAATGTAGCAACAGACCAAATTTTGTCTACAGGGAGTGCCCATTAAAATGCATTTTTCAGCAGCTAAAAGCAACATTTCAAATGGGACACCCTATATTTTTTTATAGCTTTGAGTAGCCCTGCATTTCCTGATTACAAATATATAACATAGTGTAGCATCAGTTTTGTTCTATAATGGCGTATGGTAGTACTATACTATACTAAGATAAGAAAAAAATATAATTAGAAAGTCAACAAAATTAATAACTTACAATACTCCATTTAAGATATAATACTACATTTAAGATTACAATAGATGCTCAAAGTGCCCTCCATTGTTATCAATGCACAAGTAATATCTTCGTCTCAAATTGTCTAATGCGTCAGATATTGTTTTATTATGTCCATTTAAATTTTCAATTTCCGCGCGAACTTTTGCCGTGATAGTGTTAATATTTGTATTTAAACCAAAATACACTTTTTCTTTTAAAAACCCCTATAAAAAGCTATCAAATGATGTTAAGTCGGGACTATTTGGTGGCCATGTAATGGTACCCTTATTGCCGATCCACACAATTAAATTGATTATTTAAATGTTCTTGAACGGCTACGACATTATGTAGCGGTGCTCCATCTTGTTTCCATATCAAACTATTTAATTGATTTTGTGTATAATTTTGACTTAATAACTCATCCACTTTTGTAATGACTGTCCAAATATGATTCCCCAGTTAATTTATAATCATAAAACAATGGTCCAACTATTTTGTTTTGAAATATTCCGCACCACACATTTATTGATTTTCTTCCTGACTTTTTTATTTGTTTAATTTTTCTTTTTCTATTATTTTTCTGTTCCCACGAATACCTATTTCTTCTATTAAAAATGCCTGAAGTTGAAAATTTTGATTCATCTGTCCATAAAATGTTATAAAAATATTAGGATCATTGTTCAAATTTGTAAGCATGTCTTGACAGAACTGTAAACGCTTTCTCTTATGAACATCGGTAAGTTCTTGTACCGGTAATATTTTGTACGGCTTATAGTTGTGCTTTTTTAAAACTCTATGTATCGTCGCACGGCTTTTCTCTAATGCATAGTTAATGCATTAGTATCATTGTTTAGCCTAGTTTCGGAATTTTCTAAAATAAAAATTTTACTATGGATTTAATCTGTTATTTAAGTATTTAATTATTACCTTCAAAGTAAAGCAAAGTATTAAGATATTCATCATCATTTCCTACGATAGTACGTTTCTTCCGTTCAAACATTTTTTCATTTATGACATGACAATTATATAAAAATGTATTTGCAGAAGGAGTCTGTCCATCTGGATAAATCAGCATATATTCTCTCTTGTCGCTTCCTTGTTTTTATTATTTTTTTCATAAATTGAGAATATATCTACTTTTTCATCTGCAATATAACCCATTTCGAAACTAATGCTACACAATGTTATATATTGGTAATCAGGAAATGCAGAGCTACTCAAAACTATAAAAAAATACAGGGTGTCCCATTTGAAATATTGAAGATGCATTTTATTGGGCACTCCCTGTATACAAAATTTGGTCTGTTGCTAGATTGTTGGCCGGTACAGATAAAATAATATAACTTTTATTTGATTATTTTTTTTTTGTATTCCCGAAATTAAGGAAAATAAGTGGTGGTCAAAATATAATGAGAAACCCGGTACATAATATATATGAGTTAATTTTGTTTTGTTATTCATTTGAATATATTTTTATTTAGATTAAACTTGAGCCCTGTGTTTAAAACCCATCACAAGTTATATCCCAATGGACAAGAATTGGCGTTCCAAAAGACCATCGCTTCAAAAATTTACAATCCTTAGAAATATTTCAACGTTTCTTACATCTTTGTAATTGCTAGAAAAAAATTTCAGAGTCGCATCAAAAAGATTCGTACATAGTGTGAAGAGTCCCGTCGTGGGTAACCTGGCACAATGGATAAATCCTAAAGAGTCTAATTGTAAATGCTTCACATCTAAACTGCAGTACATATCGTGAGCACTTATGCTTCCACCTACAAAAAATACGTGTTAGTTACAACTATAAATGGCACCAATAAGGATGAAATTACACAGAGATTGAGAAGTAATATTATAAATAAGGAGGTAACATGCAAACAGCCTTAAGTCACACAAAAATCAAAGTTGACCAATGCATTGTTCTGTTGTAGCCAAAGTGGTTTATTTTGATTGATGCAAAAAAAATTATTTGAAATGGTAACAACATGTTAAAACCCACCTTTACATGCAAAACAACTTATTTCCACTGTACTGGTCCATGCAAACCAGCTTATTTCCAACCAACCAATAAAAGCGCTGCAATTGCCACTCAGCTGACCCAGTGAGTCTTGCAAATTTGAGGTTATGTAAGGGTTTTGTATAAAAGTTATTGTGACTACTGTTTAGATTGTCAACGTATTTAGAAACAATTAGTAATTACGTTATTATTTAAAGGAGAATAAGTGGTACAAATGGAAGTGTAAGAGTTGGTGAGAGTTGATCAAATTTGCAGTGAGCTCTACAAGAATGGTGGCGATGCCCTACTACAGACACTGCATAAGCTTTTACTTCTTGTTTGGCATAATGAGACCATGCCTTGTGAATGGTCTCAAGGCGTGATATGCCCGTTACATAAAAAAGGTGACCAGCTCCAGTGTGACAACTATAGAGGTATAACCCTGTTAACAACTGCTTACAAAATACTAGCAAATATTCTCTACGAAAGGTTGCAAGTTTACACAGTGGGCATAGTTGGTAAATATCAAGTTGGATTCACTCCAGAAAAATCAACAATTGACCAGATTCATTCAATAAGACAGATTTCTCGAGAAAACATTAGAATTCAATATTGAAACCCATCACCTATTCGTCGACTTCAAGGCAGCATATGACAGTGTCAAGAGAACAGTGCTATACCAATCAATGCATGAGTTTGGTATACCAGAGAAACTTATCCGACTAACGAGAATGACAATGTCTAACTTAGAAGCCACTGTTAGAATACAGGGAGAGAGTTCTAGATCCTTTGAGATAAAGGATGGACTCAGACAAGGAGATGCTCTGGCTTGCCTCCTATTTAATATTGCCTTAGAAAAGGCAGTCCGAGATACACGAATTAGGGACGGCGGTACTATTTACAATAGATCGATACAAGTCTTAGCATATGCTGATGACATTGACATAATAGGGCGTAGCAAGCGAGATGTTGAGCAATATCTCCTAGAATTGGAAACAGCGGCGAAACAAGTCGGTCTAGTCATCAACGAAGACAAAACCAAGTACATGTTGGTTACAAAGGATCCGACAGCAAATGAGGAACGAGAAACAGTCTTTGGAAGTCATACCTTTGAACGTGTTGACAACTTCACATACCTTGGGTCGCTATTGACTGCTACCAATAAAACAAGCGAAGAAATCAAAAGACGAATAAATCTTACAAATAGAGCATACTATGGACTCCAAAAGCATTTCCACTCAAGAAACATTCAAAGAAGAACTAAAATTATTATATACAAAACATTGCTGAGGCCGGTCCTCACATATGGAGCAGAAACATGGACATTAACGCAGAAAGATGAAAGACTTTTGGGAATATTTGAGCGTAAAATACTCCGCAAAATATTTGGAGCTGTAAACGACCAAGGGCAGTGGCGCAGAAGATATAATTTTGAATTGTATCAGCTCTTTGATGAGCCAGATGTCATAACGTTCATTAAAACACAGCGACTTAGATGGGCTGGACACATAATAACGAATGCCAGAAAATACCATTGCTAAAAAGCTAACCACAGGAACACCTGTAGGAACAAGAAGCAAAGGCCGACCGCGAATTAGGTGGTTAGATGGAGTAGAAACCGACCTACGAATATTAAAAATCAGAAGATGGCAACATGTTGCCAAAAACCGAACAGAATGGCGACGAATCTTAGAGCAGGCCAAGATCCACAGAGGATTGTCGAGCCAAAGATGATGATGAAGAGTTGGTGAACGAAATGAAGGGACTAAAAAGTGAAAAGTTACATGAGGAAAAAGAAAAAGTGAACAAATTACCAGGTATGCAGCTCCTAAAAGAGCTCTAGTTTTTGTACGGTGTAAGCACAATAATAAACATTTCACGTGCGTAAAAATAAGGCCTAATTACATCAAAGCTTTAAAAAAAAGTTTTATAAAGTTCCAGACAGGAAAAGACAAGAGAATAAAATTGCCAGTCTGATTCATACAACACAAATCAAAAGACATAGGCCTAGGCCTGTAAACAAAAACAAAAAGAAAAAATCTGGACCTGAGCGAAAGTACTCAATACAATACTTCTTTCCAACTGTCTCTGGTGCTAAAACCTTATGTATGTTTAAAATGTTTTCGCAATGTTATTGGTGTTATAGAAACAAAAAAAAACTAGCCAAAAAAGTGCATTTTGGGTTTGATGTTTAAGAGAAAATAGGAGGTGACACTATCAAAAGTAAGAACTATCTGAAGAAGGAAAGTGTTAAGAGAGTACATAAAAACGCTCAGAGGAACTGAATCACATTACAGCAGAAAGAAGTCCAAAAGATTGTATCTGAGTAGTGAGTTAAGTATTAGTAAACTAAGTAAAATGTATAATGATCAGTGTAAAGAGAAGTTAAAAGTGAAATGCAGCATGTTTAGGGGATTTTTATAAACGAGTTTAACATAGGTTTTAAGCCACCTGTCACTGATAGTTGCAGTACGTGCTGCCTTCTCGCAGAACAAATTAAGAATGCACCAGCACGGTCAGCTGAAAAGACGCAGCTAATGGTTGAAAAGCAAATTCATTCAAGAAGAGCAAAGGCGTTTTATGAGTACATGAAAATGGATGTTCCTCATTCTGTTAGCCTTTGCTTTGATCTTCAACTAATTCAGCTCCTACCAAAAAATCGAATTCAAGAAGCTTATTACGCGAGACAAATTGGATTTATAACTTTTGTATTACTGATCTAAAAACTCAAAACCTCATGTTCTATACTTGGACAGAGGAAAAGGCAGAAAAAGGCAGTGTGACAATATCATCGGCTCTCTTTAACTATTTGACAGGAGCTGATTTTCAGGGTGTTCTGTACTACGGTTGTTTAGCGATGGTTGTATTTCTCAAAATAAAAATAATATTGTCCTGAGAACACTGATTCATTTTTTGGAAACACACAAAACATCAATCCAAATGATTTTATTGTATTTCCCTGCACGAGGACATAGTTTGTTACACGCCGATCGTGTTTTTGGACTAGTAGAAAAGCAGTTGCGAAAAAAACCCGTAATTTTAATTAAACATGAATACCATGACATTTACAGTGGCATAGACAAGATAAAATCACTAGGAAAAGATTGGTCACTACTTGATACTAAGAAGTTAAGTGAATTTTATAGGGACATCCAATCAATTAGTGAACTGAAGAGAATTGAAATACGTTACCTGACACAATAAGAAATTGAACACCTCCGAAAAAAGGGAAAAGGAAAGCCTTACGGAAAAAAACGACTGTGTTGGTAAGAGGCTTGAAAAACTAGATATGAAGAGAAAAGTCTTTTGTATCTTTGAGACAAAAGGGAAAAAGAATCTAAGACAAGTGGCACTCGAAGAACTACCACTTTATCATGTGTTAACCAAAGAAAAGGCCAAAGATGTTGACAAACTTTTGAAAAAAATATTTTAAGAAAACTAGTCTACTTCTGATCGACGCTTTGATTGGTACAAAAGTTTGATTTTTGACGAACCCACTACAGCAGCTGTTAGTGCGGAGCAGGAAAAAATGTGTGACTGCCTCGACAATGAACGCTGTGATTTCCATTAAAAAACTGTTTGTTGCATTAACTACCTATGATAATGTTTGTCACTTAATACTCACTAAATAAAAGTTTATTATTTTATAAAAATAAAAGTTTATTCAGAAAATTTTTGTTTCTTTATTTTATTTTACATGCAAAGCGGCTTATTTCCACAGAGTTCGTGCAAAAGGTCTTTTGTCAAAGCTACAAGTTTTTCGCCCTCCCTGAAAAATTACTTATTTGATAATATCGTTTTCTGTATCCTTTTTTGGTCTATGCGAAATGTGTAAAAGACTAAATCTTTTAGCGAAAGCCGCTATCGCTTTATTATATTAAATGGCCAAATATATTGAATAGGAGGACATAATAAAGCGATAGCGGCTTTCGCTAAAGGATTTAATCTTTTACAAATTTCGCATAGCACAAAGGATACAGAAAACGATATTATCGTTTCGTTCACGGCCGCCAAAGCAGGGGGCGCCTTTGTAAGCTAACTACGCTGTAGTGAAGTTTTGGGAGACATTCGTTGGACTTTCCGAGTTTGCATTTGTTTCAGCCCAAGTGCCTGATGAGGCTGGGATAGGCCGAAATGGTCATAACACTTTATTGATACCGATTCGAGCACGGGAAGTTCAGCGAATTTGTCCTCCTAGGCCATATATTTGGCCATTTAATATAACAAAGCGATAGCGGCTTTCGCTAAAAGATTTAATATTTTACACGTTTCGCATAGCACAAAGGATACAGAAGACGATGTTATCGTTTCGTTCACGGCCGCCAAAGCAGGGGGCACCTTTGTAAGCTAACTACGCTGTATTGAAGTTTTGGGAAACATTCGTTGGACTTTCCAAGTTTGAATTTGTATCAGCCCCCAAGTGTCTGATGAGGCTGGGATAGGCCGAAATGATCATATAACACTTTATTGATACCGATTCGAGTACGGGAAGTTCAGCGAATTTGTCCTCCTAGGCCATAAATTTGACCATATGGCTACTCATAAAATTTTATAACGCCTTAAAGATAATGTTTCGTTTATGAAACTTTGGCGAGATCCGTGAATTTATTATCCGTATTGGATAGTCTACTAATATTACAAAATTTTTCAGTCTTAGCTATTATTTCCAACTATGTAGTGGTATAATAATAATCTTTGGTAAGTATAATAATAGTGACCCTACTCGTTAATAGCTATTTTTTACAATTTTGCATTTTTACCGTAAATCAAGATGTCCAGAGGGTATGTAAAATTTGTTATTAGTGATTTGTAAATCCCATATACATATTCCATATAAATATTATTACCAGATAATGTTCCATATACCTAATCCCACATACATATTATTATCAGAAATGTACGATAATACATTTACATATGTCTTCTGAAACGATCTTCTATTTTTAGACTGTCCGAATATGAAATGAAGAGACAGAACTGCAAGCTATACTGAAGGATGATTCTGATTTAAAAGAAGCGGATGAGATAGATGCAGTTTATATACCTCCTTTAGTTGATATGTTAACAGATGAAGAGGATTTGGATGATAATCTTCTTATAGAGGAAGAAGCTTTGACTGATATCGCTGGAACATTCGAGATCCACACAAGGTCTCGAGATGAGGTTAAGACGCCCACAGAATCCATATTGGAACTATCTACATGTAGTGAGAAGAAAAGAAAAGAAAGTTCCAACGAAAACGCAAACCGACGCAATATACACCTGGCTGGTCTAAATCGTCAGAAAGCTATTCCTCTTCTCCAAAAGAAAATGAATTTAATAAAAAGGAAGAAATAAAGCTGAGACTTGCTGGGAAAACACCATTTGAAATATACTCTTTGTTTTTTGACGATATTGTATTCCAGAAGATACTCGAATTCAGCCTGAAGTATGCCCGGAACAACAACAGACATGATTTCAAACTCTTTCCAGCTCATCTGCAGAAGTTTTTTTGTATTTTAATCCTTACCGGTTATCATACACTTCCGGCGTGGAGCTCGTGAGAAAGTGCATGAGTCTAAACACCTTCCGAAACATAAAAAGAAATCTTCATGTCTCCGATAATAATAACGTAGACAAAAATGATAAATTTGCCAAGATGCGTCCATTATTTTTGCTGATGAAAGAACGATATTTGCAGTTTGGACTAGTTGCCCATAATATGTCTATAGATGAACAAATGGTTCCTTATTTCGGTCGACATTCTGCAAAAATCTTTATGAAGGGTAAACCAGTGCGCTTTGGCTTCAAGGTCTGGTGCTTGTGTAGCTCAAAGGGATATCTATACCAATTCATTCCTTATGGTGGCGCAAATCCAGAAAGGCAGAAATCTCAATACACATTAGGGACGCAAGTAGTTTTGGATCTGCTACATGTAATGCAAACCCTTCAGAACATAGAGTATTCTTCGACAACTTATTTTCGAGTTATGCACTATTCCACATTCTAGGTGAAAAAGGAATTTTCTTTACTAGCACCGTGAGAGAGAACAGGTTACCAGGATGTCCTCTACAAAATAGCAAAGTGTTTCAAAAGATGAACAGGGGCGAGTTTGATCATGCTTTCGACAAAAAGGCAGAAGTATCAGTTGCAAAGTGGAACGATAATTCCGTTGTGACTGTAGCCAGCAACAATGGAACGGTTCATCCAATTGTTACAGTTAAAAGATATAATCGGAAGCTACGAAAGGAAGATTCAATACTTCAGCCCAATATGATTAACGATTATCACCGACATATGTGAGGTGTTGATCACCTCTAGATAATTCGGTATCAAATTACAGGATCCGAGTAAGAAGTAAAAAGTGGTGGTGGCCCTTGTTTATGAACCTTGTGGATTGCACAGTTGTAAATTCATGGAGAATTTACAACATTGCAAATGTCTCGAATCTCCCAATTGCAATTCCGTTCTTCGTTGGTTTTGTCACTGATACAGAACGAAAAAAGAGCTGCTGAAGATGGTGACTCCGAATCAGACCCACAACCAACGCCATCCACATCTGCATGGGGTCGTCCTTCTAAACGAATTTTACCTTCTGATATTCAATATGATCAAACTGGTTATACTATCGTTCGCGAAGAGGAGGGACGTAGACGGCGGTGCAGACTGTGCAAAACTAAGTCTGTTTATATGTGCGGAAAATGCAAGGTTCCCTTGCAGCTGACTGTTTTAGTGCTTTCCATAAAAAATGAGGTGCCATAATGACGCTAGTGCCATACTACCATACTGCCAAGTAATCACTTTATCTTATATAATTAACTATTGTAGAAATATCTTTAGTTTTTAGTTGATAAAACCAAGAAATTTCATGTACACACTATAAAACGTATAACATTCAATTTACTACATATATTATGCCAAAGTTTCGTTAACGAAACATTATTTTTTTGTATATTGCAATTATTATTATTTATAATTTTAGGTGAAATATTGTTATTATGCCTTTATTTATAAAGTATATATACTTGAATTGCAAAAAATCTGATTATTTCATTGCTTGGCCATTAATGGGTTAATTAATTAACCAGCTAAATTTATATTTCCTCCAAAAACAATGACACTATCGAAAAAATCAGTAATCTAGTTCGATCTGTCCATCGTTAAGTAGTGTGATTACTACAACTGTACGAATTAACAAAAAATGAGTACGACACATCTTACATAATAAATATTCAAAAACTGCGTTCATATCCCGAGTAGTCTGTCAAAGATGTTTTCAGCCATAATATAACATTAAAGTATAGGACTATCCCCCTTATTTGCCAAATATTGTGCAATGCGACATCTATATATTAAAAAAGCGTCCTGAAAGCGCTTACAAAAGAAGACTTCCAGCAGAATAGTGCAGAGTTAATTACAGTTGATATGAACTAAATATGTACGGAATCAAAAGAAAATATTTTAAAGCATGGTGTCGTTAATTAAAAGTGACACCTATGCTTGATTTTGTTGGAATCAGTGATATGACTACTATTGGATAATCTACTGTAAAGAAACTCTAGCAAACAAGCATGATAAAGTGAGAGCATGCGCATAGCTTAATTCTCTAAACAAAAAATACTCACCCAACTCATGATATAGCCTAATTGCTAACAACTTAGCATGAAAATTACTGGGAGAATAATTCAACAAACACTCTAGTAGCCTCAGCGCCACCTGTATGCAATTTGAGCTCTTCTCTATGTGTGCTAAATCGTATAAAACGTGTGCTGCCATAAGAGCATACGGATCAGACGGACCTAAGTCTGTAGGGAGGAGATTTTCGCCGTACGTTTGAAAACCGTGTTGATAATGAAGGGATAAGGCGGTTATTAGGGCTCTCAAATGATCCGGTTGAAGGTTTCGATGACCACCGCACAGCCTTGAAAGTTGTAAAGCGGATATGTGCCTTTGCATTTGTCTTTCCTAAAACAATAAATAATATGTATGTATTAGCAATTGCATGTTTTAATTTAAATAGTTTGTTCTTAAGTATGTGTGGCAATTAAACAGTTGGATTGGTGCTACAAAATATTGGTTTCGCCACCACAGTTTATTCCCTTTAAGTTATTCTCCTTGTCGACCCCTAATATTATTATAAGCAGTGCTACTGTAAGCTTCTCGAGAACCTCTGTCGTCTTTGCTTTCACTGGTCAATATTGATCCTTCAAGCTCCGATCAAAAACATACATCAAAGGATTTTCAAAAAACTTGAGCAAGATATTGGTAGCAATATGTTTGGCTTCAGAAACGCAATGGGTAGATGGTAGGTCTTGTTTGCCCTTAATGCATTGGTACAAAGATGTATGGATGTTCACCAGCCTCTATATGTCTGTTTCTTTAATTACAACAAGGCATTTGGCACAGTCCGACACAACCGCCTCCTACAACTAGTTCAAGATGAAAATCTGGGTATGAAAGACAAGAGAATAATATCGAGTCTGTATTTTAATCAAGTTGCTTCTGTAAAGGTTGGTAATGAACTGTCCAATAAAATAAGAATAGAACAAGGGATACGGCATGGACGCATACTTTCTTCACTGCACTTTAACATGTACTCAGAAAGATAGTTCAGGAAGCACTAAAATAAACATTAATCGAAATTTAAGTCAATTGAGAAACTGTCGATAATATCAGATACATGAATAATATGTTCATAATCGCAGTCAGTTGAAAAATTATAGGTTCTGATGAATAAGATTATAGATAGTAGCGAAGAAGGTGCAATAACTATTGCACAGATAACAACAGGAGAGATTATGGATTAAGGATGAACTCACTCAAAAGATGGACAGATATACATACTTGGGAACCGTCTGACTGAAAAAACGCCAGAAATCCAACCAAGAATAGCAAAAGCCTGATCGAAATTAATTAATATAAGAAAAGTACTTTGCAGAAACTCAAAGTATAAATAATGAGGTGTTATGTGTTTACGGTAGTATTGTATAAAGAGGCATGGACGCTAAAAAGGGAATAGAAGCGTTGAGATTACAGGGAGAACCTTAAAAACAAGCTAGGTGGTATGTATTATGTGATACCAGAAATAAAATACGAAATAAGATCACATATGCTCCAAATATGGCAAAATGAATGGGAGGGAGAAAAAAAGGAGACGAAAGAAAGAGAGGCAGGAACAGGGTGGATGAGGTAACAAATTACATACAGTGCGGTCATGGGCCCTTACGACCTCACGAAGGAATATACGGCATCTTTAGAGCCAGATCTATAATAATATTACCTACGATGTTTTACGACGTCGTGTACCCCTTTTTTATTTTTATATTCTCCCTTATCAATACTGCTTCTAAATGTTATTCTAAGCGGTTCTTATCGTTTTTAGGTAAGAATTCGTAAGGTTTCAGTGTTTCATATATGTAAACATTGACTTTCATCTATGTAAAAAGTTTAATACGAGGTTGTTCTACGCCAAGCTATGAAACTTTGCAGAGGATTTAGAAGATGATTGCCTATCCCGTGGCAGTTTTTGAGTGGTTCAAATATTTTAAGTAGGAAAGGGGGGGATGTTAAAGATAACGGACGCCCTGGGCAACCTGTCACTTCAAAAAGTGATCGAAATGGTTCAAAAAATCAATGGACTTTAGTATTAGGGCCACTGCTGAGCATGTGTACTTCATAGAGAAATTTGGAGACAAATTTTGCACGAGGGAAAGTGTGTGCTAAGCGTGTGGCATGTCTCCTAAAGGCGGAACATCGTAAAGGCATTTGTTGTGACATCCTGGAATACACCTCAGTCTGGAAAAGTAATTAAGGCCTTGTCAAGGGTAGTAAATTATGAATAAACATAGATTTTTCAATATGACCCTGAAACCAAATAGCAATCCATGCAGTGGAAGACCCCAAACTCTCTGAAAGCCAAAAAAGTGAAGATAGGTACGTCCAAATTCAAGGCGAAGTTGATTGTTTACTACGATATACGCATTATACTTCACATGGAATTAATACCGTGTGGTCAGACCGTTAATCAATAGTATTTAAAGGTTTTACGCAACTTTCGAGAAAAAATTGTGTCAATGACTATTAGTCCTAAAGATTTAGCACTCTGTGTTTTCTTCCTGTTTTCAAAAATAAAATCCTGCTTGAAAGGCACTCTCCACATGTCATTAAAGGACGTAAAACAAAAATCGGCACAGCTACTCAACAATCTGTTGAAACATGACCAGTGGCACTTCTCCGCACACTGGAAGATTAGCATGGAGTGGTGCAGGGATGTGGAAGGAGAGTATATTGAAGGGGAAAATGAAAAAAATTTAAAAGATTGCTAAATAAAATTGTTTTAATATTCTCGGAACTTAATTGCCATTCCTCGTATTCGAAATCAAATTTTAGCCAAGTAAAGAGAAGATGTGGCAATGTGACGGCCAAACATTTGTAACCCTCCTTCACAAACTACTAATACAGGTATGGCAAGAACGCGCGTTACCAGAAGATTGGAATATTGGAATACTGGAATACTGGAATTATATGACCCATACACAAAAAAGGAAACATTCTTGAATGTTCCAACTTTAGAGGGATTTCCCTTCTTAAGACAGTATACAAAATTGTGTCCCTGATACTTAACGAACAACTGGCACGGTATACTGACAATATAATAGGATCCTACCAAAGAGGCTTCTTGAAAAACAAATCTACTATTGATCACATATCATCCATTACATCTTCGTAGACTTTAAGGCGGCATACGATACTATTGACAGGTCCCAATTATATTCGGCGATGATCGAATTAGGAATACCAAAAGGATTGGTAGAATTAATTAAAATGACAATGATGAAAGTTGAATGTAAAGTGCGCGTACAAGGGTATGTTTCAAAACCATTTAAAACCAACAGAGGACTGCGCCAGGGAGATGCGCTATCATGCACGCTGTTCAACCTAGCGTTAGAAAAAGTTATGAGAGATTCGGGAATAAACTTAAAAGGTACGATATATACCCGTAGTATACAAATGGCGTGGCATACGCTGATGATATCGTCATAATTGGAAGAACCCAAAATGACGCTGTGGAGGCTTTCACGCGTATCAAAAATTCCGCAGAAAACAGCGGACTTCTGATTAACATCCAGAAAACTAAATATATGCCGGCCATATCAAGAATTCAACAAACTGACTTAGAGGTGCAACACGAAACGATAGAAATGGTAGAAAAACTCTGCTACTTAGGATCACTGGTAGACTACAAAAATAACACATCCAACGAGATAAAAAAGAATATGCGTGGCCAACCGCTGTTATTTTGGCCTGGGCCCTCAACTAAGAGCGAGAAGTATGTCAATAGCAACAACGTGCAAACTTTATAAAACAATAATACGCCCAGTGCTCACATACGGATCGGAAACATGGGCAATGACGACCCGAGATGAAGAGTTACTACGAGTCTTTGAAAGAAAAGTATTGAGGACCATATGTGGTGGAGTAAACAAACAGGGTCTGTGGAGAAGGCGATATAACTTTGAACTCTATAGACTTTTTGGTGATGCAGATATTGTGAAGACCATCAAAATAAACAGCCTAAGGTGGGTGGGCCACGTTATGCGGATGGATGAGAGTGATCCCACTAAAATAACTATGTCCCTAACTATAAACAGGCCGGTCGGAAGAAGAAGAAGGGGGGCGACCTAAATTCAAATATCTGGACGATGTACAGGAAGATCTGAGGGAGATTGGAGTGAGGGGCTGGAGAAGACAGACACTCAATAGGGAAGGATGGAAGAATGTTTTGAAGCAGGCCAAGGCTAACGAAGGGCTGGAGCACCAACTGATGATGAAAGAGAAGATAGCTGCAATAAACGTATATTTTAATTAATGCACTTCAGAGTTGGAATCCGAGAATATTAGAGAAAGTATACAGAACTAAAGGGCGGCAATATTGGAACATAAGTATATATATTTCAACATTAAAATACATTTTTCCTTGCCATGATATATAATATAATACTTACTGTTTGCGGTACACTAGTTGAGCTAATTCCAACGTCCTTGATTAACCTAGACGCTAATTCCGTCTTCTTTTCCGAATCCAACAAATTCAGATATATTCTTAAATCGCTAACGCAACACTGCTTATGTCCAAATTTACGAAAATATTCGATAAACAATTCCATCAGATCGCCGAGAATGTCATACTTCATGTTCTTCTCGTTTAACTTTAGACAAAGTTCGAATCTGGCCAAATACGGTCCACGAAGTAAATACTCTAAAAATTTTAAGAGCAGTATGTAAAAAATCAACCAAAAGAGATAAGATTTGATTATAATAATAATAATACTTTTTGCAATGGAAATAACTTTGGGGACTCAAAAATGTTTAATAACTCATTAACAGATTATTTATACTACAATCATCAAATTTTAATTATATCTAGCACTAACACTCGCTATAAGAGAGACATAGATGTTTAATTAGAGTTTTTGGCATCAGCTGTTTTATATATACACTTGTCAAGTTGAATTGATACCATTGTATATTATTACGACCCTCGCTCCGACCATAGGATCGTACCATAATCGATCAATAGGTAAAATAAATGCATTATTTTAAATGCCAGCGTTCACTGTCAATGCTATACTCTAGGCAAGGATTCAATGCGGTGATCTCCTTGAACATACCCTTACACAGCATTACTCGCTTCAAAACCAAAGACTCTCCTAACAGAAACTCCTAATAGTGTATTTCTCAATATAATAAAAACATGGTAATATAGTTTACTGAATGTAAGTGAGAACACAAATTTGTTGTAGGTAGGTATTCGATAGTTGGAATATAGGCCTCTTCCGTTTCCTTCCAAACTTCTCTGTCCCATGCCAGATGTTTCCATGTTGGTCCTGTAATACTTTTAATGTCATCACTCCACCGCATTTTGGGTCTTGATCGTGATATCTTCCCTCCATAAGGTCTCCAACTCCCTAGTTCTCTGTTTCATCTACCATCCTCGAGGCGTTCAATGTCTCCAATTCACTTCCATTTCAATAAAGTTGCTTATTGAATAACATCCTTTATTATTGTTTTCTCTCTAATTGATAAATTATTTTGAAGTTCCTTAAGTAAAATGGGTCTGTCCCAGCATCTGCCTTTCCATCAGTTTTCCTCACCTTTTCCAAATTTGCTTTGATCAATGTCCATGTCTGAGGACCATATGTTAACACAGGGGAACACAAAAATTAAATGAAGTTCCTGAGGTATGTTTTTATTTTTCAGTACATAAGACAGCTTTTCAAAGGCAGCCTATCTCATTTTTACTTCTCTAGTTATTTCTGTTGTCTGATTTTTTTATTTAGTTTCCATTTTGACCCAGCTGGTCATATTTATCTACATAATCCTGCACTGTTATTGACAGTTTTGGGAAAGATACCACGTCTGACTGATCTTATTCTGCCTTTGGTACAGCAAAATGGTAGCATGTGTTCTGTCTTTAATTTACTTTCTGGTAATACAAGAGCTTCATCCCTTGTTGTTATCTATATCTTCCTTACATATTTCCATTTTTCATTCACCTCAATTGTTCCAGTCTCATTTTTACTTCAAAATCTTGTTTAGAGCTCCTTACACCACATACTTTTGCAATATATCTATATTGGAGTCTTTATATGTGTTCACGCAAAGTAAGAATCCTCATGCAATTGTGTTATCGGCACAGATAAAGCCATAATTCAGCTTAAATCAGCAAAAGAATATTTAATTAACTGTAGAAAAAAATTAATAAAATGTAATATATTTGTAGCTTGGTATCTGCCATTCCTCACTGACTGTCAGGGCTTGTCATCATTTTGATATAAATGTGTGCCCAATTGCTAAACAAAATTAAATTGTAAAAAGTATATGCTTACAATACTGTAGAGTATTGTAAGCATGTATTTATTCTGTAATAATAAATTACAAAAAAGTTGTCTTAAAAAATTATATCTAAAGTCAACTTACCATTTCCAGTTCCACTCTCAATAATACCACAAATAAACTCATGAGCTTTTTCTGTGGTATCATCAGGAACCTCTATTTCTTCCCCAATCTTTTCTGGAGTACTTGGAGCTGATTGATTGATCACCATTAACTCAAAAACGGACTTAATATATTCTTTCCAAATATCCCACCTATCCACACTGTAATTAAATGTAATGTAAATGTATAAAAATAAAATTTTTATTTATTTTTTTTTGTTATGTTTGTACACTTGACTCAAAAACTACGCCTGTATAAGATTGTACTATACTTAGTGAACTAAATTAGTAAGAAGTACACTTAGAACATTGATACACAGTACTTAGTACTTAGTACAGATACTTAGTACATTGAGCTTGAAGGTACCGTTGTGCTTGAAGGTAGCATTGCTCAGTCTTCGTAGATTATTAAGGATCGTTAATAGGGATAAAAAACCATAAACAAGAAAAAACAGATACAAAAAAACAGGAGAGAGAACAACAGAAAGAAAAAAAAAGAAATGTGACATTCATATGACAGATATTAACTTAGAGATAGCACCTAGTTGCCACACTATTTTGTGAACCTGTATATTATATTGGAATAGAATGTTTAGCCTAAATAATTTTGATTTTCTGTAAATTACTTACCTGTAAATTAGTATCCCCTTGCAAATTAGATTAACCTCAATCCACCTGTTTAGTTTTTTGAGGTATTCTAGTTTAACTTGAGGTATATTAGCACATTGCATCTTAACTCCCAAAGGTCCATTCAAAATATCTATAATTTCCTCATACTTCCCTAAAAGATTTAGTATCATAACATACAACTGCACCTCTTGTTCAGCATCAACTTTGTTGTCACTAATTAATTTAGTAAACATTCGTTCTGCTAAACTTAGCAACAGTTTTCGTTTTTGGGAATCTTCAGAGCCTTCTCCTCGCGTGGCTTGTAATATTACACTCATTATTGCCCAGCAATAATAAGGGTTCTTCGGTTTGCTTTTGTACAGAGCCATCGCAGTTTGTTGTTGAGCTTTGAAGTCGCCGATTCTGACATATGACATAAAAAGTTGTGTGTGCAGTTCTTCATTGTTTGGATTACTTTTTACTACAATTTCGTATAATTTGCAGATCTTCTCCACTGCAAAAAAGTTCATACATTAATATATAGAACTTACATTAAAAAAGTGTATCCATACCTCGGAGGTAAAGGACACTATGTCCATTTTCTTACTTTTTAAGGAGAGTAGTTTTAACATTTTTTAAATTTGTAATCAGTAAATACTCAAATGTTTCTGATATTTAACCAAAATTAATATATTATAATAGATATATATATATATATATATAAATATATATATATATATATATATATATATATAATATATATACAGGGTGGTGAATCGTCAAACGGTCCATAGGAAACTCAATGGGAAATTCTAAATTGTTGAATTCCTGCTTCCCTAATTATTTTACACCCAAAGTCATGGGAAACTATTTGTAGAGGACTCAAATATGTATCGAAAACAACTGTTAAAATTATTCTACGACTTAAAGGTATTCCAAAATTTTGCTAAAATATAATACATTTTTCTGTGAAAAAATGTGTATTACGTGTTGCGTTTTGTCATATTATTGTTTCTGATATTTGACAATATTTAAATCAATTATATTACATTTATCTATGATTTAAATGGCCAAAATTTTGTGATTTATTGTTAAAAAAAAAATTAAGTTGATTAAAAAATGTACTCAGTTGAGGAGAAAAAAGCAATAATAAAAATTTTTTATTCATGTTTTATTATAACACTTGTTATAGTTTTATGTTTATAAATTATCATATATTATTATTAGAAATAAAGATCACAGTAACAGTATATTGGAATTCATTGAATTGTTGTATAACTTAACATGGAATTAAATTTTAGTGAATTAGAATATCTTACGTTAAATAAAGATCCGGTAGTGGCAGGAAAAGGTTCGCGCTATTGCCTGAGTACAACATTATGCGATTTTTCGTCAACTGAGTACATTTATATTGATCGATTTGTAAACAATATAATTTATTGTTCACAAAGTAATAATGTTCATTAGTAGTAGTATTTAGTACATTAGTAGTAACTCATTGTTTATAATTTAATCATAAAATAAAAAAATTGACAATTCAAATTGTCAAACATCTGACATAAATATGATAAAACACAAACGTAATAATATATATATTCTTGCATTACGTGTGGCCTAACTTTTAGGGGTGGCCTGAAAAATGTATTATATTTTAGCAAAATTTTGGAATACGTTTAAGTCGTAGAATAATTTTAACAGTTGTTTTCGATACATATTTGAGTCCTCTACAAATAGTTTCCCATGACTTTTTGTGTAAAATAATTAGGGAAGCAGGAATTCAACAATTTAGAATTTACCATTGAGTTTCCTATGGTCCGTTTGACGATTCACCACCCGGATATATATATATATATATATATATATATATATATATATATATATATATATATATATATAATATATTAATAAAATAAGTATATATTAATATATATATTAATATATTATATTAATAAAATAAATGGACATAAAAAGTAAGAAAATAGACATAGTGCCTTTACCTCCGAGGTACGGGTATGAAAAAAGATAAAATCAAAAATTGATATATTTGTTATTAAGTATATTCTTTAGTAGTTTAGAAGTGGTAGATTTGTCCAGGAGGCTCCAAGTGTAATTCTAATACCAGCATTGCAAAGAAAATACCTGTTTAATGATTGTATTTCTATAATTACAACTTCCAGATTTGTAGTTACTGGAAATTCTTTTGTCGTTAGTGATTTTTTTTACTAATGTGGCTACACCAATTGAAGACAAATTATTATTTGTTACCCCATCTTTGTGAAAACAGTCATATTGAATTTAGTTATATTTTTTTGGGGATTCAGATTAGTTTCCTGTAGGCGTATTACATCAGTAGATTGTTCACCAATTAGATATTGAAGCATAGCAAAGCAATGGAAAGATCCATCAATATTCCATTGAAGTAGAGACTATAATCTTAATGTTGGCTTAATTAAGATGTGTCACTTTCCCAGTCCTATACCTCATTACCAAGGTAATTATAGATTTTTTTCCTTGAGGACAGTTTATGAATCTTTCCTTTAAATGGGGGTAAACTTGACTGGGCATATTGGATAAGACTGGCAGGTCTGTGGTATATTTTTGTATCATGCTTCTAGGATCTATTGTTCCAGTGATTAGTAGCATGTTGGTCAAAGTTTACAGCAAAAGGTGGAGAGTTTTGAGAAATAGAGTGAATGTATCTAAAAACTAATTACTAAATTTACTAAACACTTGGAACTGAGATCAGTGAGCTGAGTATAAATCATGATTGAAAAGTTAACCACTAAAGTATCCACAAAGTTAACAGGGATAGATACTGTATGGAACAGCACTACATTTCAAAAAAATAATCCTGTACAAAATAGAATGCAACATGTAATATGTATCTCATGACTAACCAAGTATTAAATGTTATTTCATTTAAACAAAAGAAATCAACATCCACATTGGTTGGAGAAAATAGGCATAAAATGAGCTATACTATGTTCCACGTTTAGAAAATAACATTGCGGAGATAGGGCCATGTATTTCTTATGGACGATAGAAACGTGGCATTGCCACGTCACACACAAGCATAATTTAGGGTTGTATAATTTGTATTTTCGTTTCCACAAACATGAATTAAATTAATGTTTTTTAACATAATTGACCAAAAGTGCCAATTCAAAACAAGAGATGAAAATTAATTACTATTTATAACTGGGAATAAGCCACAATAAAGATAAAAATACATTTATTGACGTTTCAATTTCCAATTCGGAAATCGTTCTCAAAATACAAATAGTAAATTAAACAAATTTTGTTTTTTGTTACATAGTGAAAAAATTCTTCTGATAATTTAATTTTATCTGACTCATTTATATTGACAATTCAGACATACATTATGCATTTTAAAGTAGACGACTTTAAAATGATAATGTATGTCTGAATTGTCAATATAAATGAGTCAGATAAAATTAAATTATCAGAAGAATTTTTTCACTATGTAACAAAAAACAAAATTTGTTTAATTTACTATTTGTATTTTGAGAACGATTTCCGAATTGGAAATTGAAACGTCAATAAATGTATTTTTATCTTTAATGTGGCTTATTCCCAGTTATAAATAGTAATTAATTTACAATGCCACAAGAAAAATAGCTTCAGAGCAATATTAAGAGATGAAAAGTAGGGAAAATGATTTTAATTAGATATATAGTATTTACAAAAGATAATTTTATTTTATCTTATTTTATTATAGTAACGACAGTTAATTTGTTTTTTCGGTGAGAATACGATATACCATGAATCATAGAAATCAGTAGAAAATATTGACCGCTTGGAATGCGTATATCTAATTACTAATTGCAACTTAAAATAATATGATGTGTGTATGTCAGCTATTTTATGTAGTTCTCTGACTACATAATGATAATAAGGCTTTTATTTAGTAGTTATTCGGACTTTACAGTTAAATGTTAATTGAAAATGAAAATTCAAAAATTAAGCAAAGGGAATATTTGGGACATCCGTGCAAAAGAGAGTGTCTGAGAGTTTTGGCAACACTGACCTCCACAAGCATAATGTTATTTTCTTAACTTGAAACAAAGAATAGCTTTAACCATTTGGTATATAGTACAGTTTAAGCTTTTTTATGATGTATATTGTGTCTGTCTTACTTACATTCTTGCATCTCCCTATAACAGAGAGCCATGGCTTGTAAAGTTGCATCGTCAGAAGGTATTTCTTTAGTTAACATATCCAAAATCACATTACACTCAGTGTCTTTGCCTATCCGACGCAAAGTTAGAGCCTTTAATGCTTTTGCACATTGCAAACTTGGAGTCTTTTTTAAAACCTTGTCACATTCCTGTAATGCTTTTTTGTTATTTCCGCTATCCAGCCAATCTAAAACATAAAACTTTGACGTGTTTTGGTTGATACTGTGGCTTAAAGTAAAATATCACTGTAAAATTAAGGAAACATGTTTTATTTTTTATTCATATAATAGTGCTTAATACATAATATTTATGAATTCAAATAACTATATTCATAAGTTTTTTACAAGTTAAAATAAAAAGTAAATACTATCTCGTTTCTAAAGAACAGCACTGCTTCAAATGAAGCACTTAACCTTAAAAAATGTTTCGGCGAAATAAATTATATTAAAAATCTAGCCAGTAAGTAAATTTTTACCATATATAGGTCTTAATCTTCTTTCTACCACAGAATTATCTTGTTGCACGTGTGAATTTGCTTGAGATCTAGACATTTTATTCCTTCTAGAAAATTAGGTTATGTTCAGGAACTTTTGATATGGGATACAATGATAACTATAACTCCTTTATTATGTTAAATGATAGATTATTTTATTGAACTGCACCACAATTCACTAAGTTAAGTATGAGTTTCTTTTACTTTTTTGTTTACTGAAAAGTAACCGCCATGATTTTTAGCGGAACTCCGAAACGAGATGGAAGGGGCCGGGTTAGTAGATTTATTTATTCTTGAAACCAAACTGTAGCAGACATAGATGGAGTTTCAAACTTAATTTGACAGCTACACGTCATTTGTTAACACATGAGTGTTATCAAATGTCATGTGATAGACAACACATATTTCAATTAGCAGAACCGGACTTAATATTGTTGTCTTTTGAGAGGCATAAAAATCTGTACTTTATTGAACATTTTGTCATTTTGATACAAACATTTTTGTCTGATATTTTATATTTATTTTAGGTCCTTATTTTTTTGGTTTTAAGAATTCTTTAAAATAACCAGTTGTACTTATTTTAATGATGTAATTGCAGATATGGATTTGGATTTCCTTGACTTGTCATTAGATTTTCATTCTCTCATAATTAGCAGGTGTATCTGTTATCCCACTCGTATTAGAACACAGTTGTTTTGTCTGTTGGCTTTAGGTTTGGTTATGTGCATATTTTGTAAAATCTTCATTCTTTTGATTTTATGCTTTTATCACTATGCAGGGTCAGCTTCCCATTAGAATAAACACCGACAGTTAAACAATAGATTTTTATAATACAAACATTTTCCAGGCGGATATCAATATTTGAATTTATATCAATTTTGTTATTTTCCCAAAAAATTACCGTAAGCAGTATATTTATCCCTCTAAGTGATAACCTAGAAGAAGAAGAACGAGATAATCATTCATTATTTTTCGAGACTTTAAATGCTTAATATAATTTTTAGCTCACAAAATCCGTTGGTAGATATTTAACACAAAATACAGTAGTCCCTCGAGTAAGTTCAATTCAAATTAGATATAAACGATATTGTCAAGGATATTACTCCAACTGTTAAACTCGTACTGTGTGCTGATGATCGTATTATCTTTTATCATGAAAAGAACACTGCTGCTACTGCTTAATTTATTCAAGAAGCTGTTAGTCAGTTGATAATTTGGTACTACTATACAGATTTGAAGATTTCTGCTGAAAAATCCATAATTTTGGACCTCACTGTTGACAAAAAACTTTTGACAACAATACCAATATAACATAAAAAAAAAACTGGAAGATAATGAACGTCTTGAAAACGAAAAAAAAAACTAATTACAACAAACCTAAAAAACCCTTCCTTGTTTTGAGTGGCTACTCACTCCCACACAATGGTTCAATGAATAACAGGTATGATACTCCCGAGTGCGAAATTGGGACGAATTCGGGAGTGACGTCACAATGAGAGTGATTTTAAATGGTACCCGTAAGAACATCGGCTTTAAACTTTTTTTTATTCTTCGCTTTTTAATCCTAGAGAGGTAACCTTCGTAAATTTTATGAGCTCTCCTTTGATTGGCTTGTCTTATTTGGCGCCAGTCCTAAGGAGGGGATCGAGCTTTCGTCTAGTTGCACGTAAACACATGAAAATAATTGATCATTAATCACCTGTAATAAAATCGACAAAACAAATAAAACACAAGGTTTTAAGTTACAATTTTCTTTAATTTTCTATTATTTTTCATATCTTCTTTAAGTGTTAGGTTTAATTTAATATTCTAAAATACATTCGAGATCTAAAGATATTGTGTAATTATCTGTTCCATAATCCTCTTCGGCACTTTTGGAAAGCCTTTACTGCCTTTTAAGTTGATTTATAAATAAACCTTTTGCAATTTATACAGCAAATTTCTTTCAAAGTCTTTCGGCTTAAGTGTTTTGAACAAATCCTTGAGGTTTTAGTATTAAATTTGTCTTCAGAGCAACAAGCAATAACCTACAGTTTTTCCACTACCGAGTCCTTGAGAAAACCATAAAACCTACCAGATTTACCTCTATCTATTCTAAAGACTGATATTTTTTGTACACACTTATGACAAGTCGAAAGAAAATGTAAAAAGTATTTTTGAAGTGTGTATATTTTAGGTAATTCCTAGCTGAGCGCTTTCGGCTTTACAAAGCCATCATCAGAGCTATGCTACAATAAAATGTTCTTATAAGTACTAATTGGTAAAGATTCTAATTTTAACTTACGTCAATTTTTTAAATACCACTACAAAGGAGAGATCTCATTTCCTTATATTTCCAAAAAAAAAAAAAAATCATAATTTGGAAATATAAGGAAATGAGATCTCTCCTTTGTAGTGGTATTTAAAAAATTGACGTAAGTTAAAATTAGAATCTTTACCAATTAGTACTTATAAGAACATTTTATTGTAGCATAGCTCTGATGATGGCTTTGTAAAGCCGAAAGCGCTCAGCTAGGAATTGCCTAAAATATACACACTTCAAAAATACTTTTTACATTTTCTTTCGATCTACCTCTTCTGCTTATCACTCAAACAATCAGATATTGCACAACGCATTTTATATTTAGCTTATAAATTATTTCTAGCGCAAGTCCCTAAGGCGTATGAGTATGGTTGAGTATTAAGTACTGACTCAATAATAATTAAACAATTCTGGCTCTACAATGGTGCTACAGCCCAAATTGAGCCTTGGCCTCCTCCAAACTACGCCTCCAACCTTGCCGGTCCCACCCCGATATTCTCCAGGTTCTCGCGTCTAGAAAATTTTGCGCGTCCGTTTCCACTTGATCCTCCCACTTTTTTTGTGGCGTTTCTTTTGGTCATGTGCCCTGCATACTAGTGATTTACTATCTAGGACTTTTTTTGGCAATCCAGTCTCAATTCTCACTACATGACCAAAACATCGAAATCTCTGAAGTTTAACGAATTTTGAGATCGGTGTCTCTTTGAACAGCTGGTAGAGTTCATGGTTGTACCTGGATCTCCATACTCCGTTTTCGTTAATAGGTTCAAATATCTTCCTTAGGACTTTTTGTTCGAAGACTTCCAGTTTTAGTTTTGTGTCTTCTGTCATCACCCATGTCTCGCATCCATAACATACTATTGGCACAGAATAGATAACAATCAGAATGCCCACCCTGCTTGTCAAGATAAGTACGCGCAGACGGAATCAGCCATGGTTTAAACTTAACCAGTGCTGTTCAGTGAAATTTTATCTAGTGTGCACAGAAAAATAAACCCGGTTTAATTGATTTATGGCAACCATAGACATAATATGCAATATGTTATGTCGTACTTTTAGTTGAAGAATAGGTTAAATTATTTTTAATCTACTACATTATTAATCTCTAAAAAATTAAATTATGGTTCTGTCCTAGCTTGTCACAAATTTCTCATTCCGAGTATGTGTTTCCGTTTAAAACTTAAGTTTAAAATATGGAGATCGCGTGCTGACACACTTCAAATGTGGCATCTAAAAGTGGGCATTCTGATTGTTATTTATGCTGTGCTGTTGGTCTAATAATAGTCTTGCAGACCCTGATTTTCGATTTCCAGTGAGTGTTTTTGGAGCGGAACACATGGACGAGTGAAAAGTAAGCTTTGTTTCCCTTTACTATTGTTCTTAGTAATTAAACATATCTTATTTATAACTTCTAAAACACCAAAATATTATCCATATAAAGTGCAAAGTAGGTACACCAAAACCTATAAAATCACCTATAAAATCGCATATGGAGTTCAAAATATTCCTAATAATAATTTTTTCGCACTAAAAATCCTACAAAATCAACTTAAATCTCACAAAACACCATAAAATCTGCAAAAAGGTTACCAAAGAAGCCAAAAGCTAAAAAAAATAAAATTTCCATTACAAACAGATATATGTATTACAATGACGGTAATTCTCATTGTGACGTCAAGGTTAGGGGATCTGCTGATGGTGGCCTGCGCAATATCATACCTGTTATTCTTTGTACTATACTCTACACAACAAATTCAAAATGCATATGACATGACATAACCTAACTTTTACGTAAGGTTATTACATGGTTATTGTTATTACATACATCGGATAATCCATAAACATTTAATACAAATAGACTGATGCTGAAATACAATCGCATTCCACCAGTGCGACAGAGAAAACTGACGCAAAACAGTCCCTACATCTCTTTCTAATGGGCCCGGTTTATCGATCACGTGACCTTCTCATTGGTCATTTAGGCCATGCGGTCAAAAAATCCTACCCATTAAGGTCAATTCAGACACATCAGTCCCGTCATAGTCTCGGCGCCGAACCGGTCCTGTTTGGTCACAGAACTATCAACTATCTGACAGTTGGGTAACTGTTTGTCAACTGATGAGTGTGAATGCCGGCAACATATTTGTATTAAAGAATATTTTGTATGACGGATTGTTCGTTTCGGCGCAATCACTGTGACGAGACGTGACTGATGTGTCTGAATCGACCAGAAAGAGATGCAGGGACTGCTATGCTTTAGTTTTCTCTGTCGCACTGGAGAAACGAATTTGTATTATATGTCTATGGAATAATAAGATAGGTTACATAACCTTTCTGATTATCCGATCAGATTAAAACGGGTTTAAACTTTTTTGGTTACGTTTCTACAAACGAGTTATTTATCTGCAATGTAATAAAATTCATAAACAAGGTCATTAGTTTGACTGTCTAAATTACAGACTAGCGGAACATAATATTACACTAGTATGGGTTCCAGGTCACCAGAGAACACATAGCAATGAAAGAGCTAATGAACTTAGCAGAAGAGCATATGCTACAAAATTGTATTCTTTCACAAGAAAAGAAAACAATTGGAAACATAATAAAATTTGGACATATTAGAATGACTCATTGAAATGGCTTGAAATCAAAGCACTAGCCAGAAATAGAGTTCGCTGGAGACACTTTGTGGAAGCCCTATGTTCCTCTTAGGAATCTTAGGGACTATATATAAACAGAATGACTCATTAAAAATTAATGCAAGAGAAAATCATAAGATGTGTTGTTATTGTAATGCGATACTTTCTGTAAAGCATATTTCTGTTGATTGCCTAA